GCTGAAAAGGTTAATGTAACTCCATTTGGGAATGAAGAGGTTAAAGTAACTTCATTTGGAAATGAAAAGGCTAATGTAAACTCCCTACTCCCCTCCTGGGCAAGGTCACCCTGGTAGACCTGCGCCCTACTTCTTTGAGCCACAGGCCCCACCCTATACATAATTTTTTTTAATGTATTATATTTGTAAATTGTACTTATGTTGAGATTAAAAATATATATATTACAATACTATTTTTGCATTCTATGAAAATTGCTCCATATAGACCACATTTTTAATTCAGAACACCCATCCCCCACAATGGTGTCCCACTTTACCAATGTTAAAATCTAGTCACCTTAATCTATATAAATATATATTTGTGGCAACAATTTCATAGCAGAGAAGAAAATGAATTTAACCCAATGTCCCTCAGTAGGGTCACGGCAAAGCAAATTATGGTTATATATACACACTACAGAATTCTACATAGCTGTTCAAAATATTGACAACTAAATACCAGTATGGAAAGTACTCCAAGATAGATTAAGTGAAAAAAGTAAATAACAGAGACAGGCAACCCTGTTTCCACTTAAAATCACATATGCATGTATGTCTGTAAATGCACAGACCAGCAAGATCACACCCAACAGCTCACAGTGGTTATTTCTGAGAAGGGAAGAATGTTAACGTTGGGGAGGTGAAGAGAAGGAGGTAAGGCAGGACTTCCACATTTTATGCTGTATACTTCTCTATAATTAGAGCATCTATATGATTTATCATCCAAACCAGGAAGATTTAGAGTAAACATATCTACTCTGAGACAATAGACATAAATGGGAACTGTTCTGGACAAATGGGATGTTGGTCATTATCTATAGTGAGACTGTATTCGTGACTCAATCGTTTAGTTTTAAAAACCAGTTCATGGGTTGCCAACTGTTGTCTAGTGTTGGAATTAGCACACCACCTTGAATTGGGCTTCTATAATTATAAGAAAAAAGACTCATATGGCCTCTTTTATATTTTATCGTGAGGCCACTAGATATCCCTCCCTCTGTGCTTGGCAAACACTCTTCCTTTACTTGGTAGAGGACAGTTGGAGGACATGACAGATCAATCTGTACAAGGACCCTACAGGGTTGTCCAACCTTTTTTTTTCCCCTCTGCCACACATTTGAAGAATAAAAGTTGTCTTAGGCCACACAGTAAATACACCAAGGGAAGCTGATTACACAGATAAACAAAAAAGTCTTCACAACATCAGCCTGTGGCCCGCAGGCCACAGATTAGACAGACCTTCCTGCAGGACCTTCTGGGAAGGAAGAGCCCGAGGCCCTAACCCATTTCCTCTGGATATAAACTTGGAGGTGACTTACTGCCTGTTGTCTCTTGACATAGCCCCTATCAAGATCCGAGATCAGAAAGCAAGAAAGGGACTAAGGTATCCAAACAGGAATTCACCCTGAGGTGCAGGGGAGTGTAGGGTCTGGTCTGTTGGCCTCAGCGGAGCACAGGACCTACAGCTTGTTCCGCAGAGACTGGCTCTTGTGTGGGTTGCCGCCGAAGCCATTAGCTTCTAGACAACCTGGAACAGCTTTGGGACCCAGAGCTGAGCACGTGAGGATGAACTAGCAGAGCTCTTAACCCTGGGACTTGGCTCAGGTATCCGAGGTGTCCACAGCAGAGGCAGATCAACAAGAATGCTGTCTCAGAAATGGGTCCACATTCTGCAGTAAAGCCCGGTGGCAGTGACTGTGAACTGATCATCCATTGTGCTTTGAAGTATCACTGACCATTCTGAACTGAGTGAGCCCCTGAGATTTGGGGACAATGAAGGGGAGTGGGGAGAAAAACGTTAGGAGGGATACGATGGACTTTCTGCTAATAAAGGCAAACGGGGTTTTGAACAATGAATTATACCTTGGCCGTGTCACATAACTCACTTAGATTATTTTAAATGACCAGCCATACATCACCCCCTGTGAACCTGTGGTGATCATTTGAGTTGATTTAGGCATTAAGAAAACATTAAGAAAGAATGGAAGGAGGTGGGCCAAGGAGTAAAGGAATCGGAGGCGAAGAAAACAGGAGCAAGCAGAGAGAGGGAGTGGGGCACGCGGCGCGCTCTACTCACTGGGCTGGCGCGCGTTCCAGTGCGTGTACCGCACCTGCTCCGACGTCTGCCCTGCTGTCTTCCACGTGTACTCTCCTGTATCATTTTGGTCTTGAAGAGCTATCCAAAAATAACTGTCCTTCATTTTCACCACACCACTGATCAAACTGGTAATAAAAGCCTGTTCAAACCTTAAAAAGGAAAAAAGGAAGTGGTTATATTAAGTTTCTGGGCAATAAAAAAATGTCATTAAAACATAATGAAGTGCACAAAATGGCTGCAGAGCAAGCATTTCTCATTAATTCTTTAGAACACAGAGTAGAGAAATATCTGAAGACCCTGAGCATTGCTAATAAATGCCAAATGTCAGTCCAATTCCCAGAAATACACGAGAGAGGAAATTTTAACTCTTATAGATGGGGCTTAATTCTTTCAGGGAATAAATAGAGTCCTGGGTGGAAAAGCTGACATAGTCAGCAGTACATTTCTTGTAGTAAGATGTGGCCTATTTTGTAATTAGGGCAGATATCACTGCTGTGCCCTCATGTGCAGGAGTGGGCACTGGCAGGAGAGAGAAGGAAGGATATCACGCTTTTCTGAATGAACATCTACCAGCAGAGTTCACCCTGCACTGGCCCCCGCCCCCTGACCATCACACCTGCTTGGGGAGAAGGAACAGGGTAGCAATTCTGTGTCCCCCAGATAAGTATGTTCAGAGGTCCAGTAGGCCTTGGCTTATTCAAACATGTTCAACTGCATTTTTACTGAAGATAAATTTACCAGCCTAAGAGTCAGTCCAAGGCAGTGCACCCACTAATATACGTATTTCCCCCAAAGCTGAATGAATTAATGTTGAGTGGTTGGTGGCAGTGCTCCCTTCCCAGTCTGGATGCATCAAAAACAGAATCTAGAAAACTTGTGCTGACGCTTCCACGTGCACATGTGCTAAGAAAAATGTAGGCATTAAAGTTTGACTAGCCTTGAACTTGGAAGCTAAGTTTGAAACGATTTGGAGAAAGCTATTTTCAGACACCCAAAGTTGGGAGAAACACATTACAAACAGTGCTAACTCCTGGCCAGACCTGTGAGTGAATGGGAAAGGAAAGGCCTGATGTCATTACCCAAGAAACTTAAAGAGAAAGAAAATTAGACCTTTTCATCAAGTTTTGGAGTTTCTTTTTTATTATTACCATGCATCTTTGACTTGCTGAGGGGAGCAAAAGCAATAAGGATTAAGAATAGAGGAGCTTCAAAAGGAAAAGAGGGGAGGAAAAGAGAAAAGAACAAAAAGAAGCCCAATTTTTCAATGCCTTGTGGATGGACATCATCAGCTGTGTCGAGTCATCTTAGGCACCCACAGAACTTACCTTTGCAGAGCACATGGATTTTCATCACCTCTTAGTAAACATTTTCTGCAGATACTCTGTTAATGGCATACCTAGCTCGTGTTTGAAATTAGGAAAGTTCTTTTCTAGCCATATTGCACCGGCAGAACTTAACATAAATGCACTTCAAAAGGAAGATGCGTAAGACTAAATATTGCCTGCATGAGGGTGTAGCCTTCCTCACACTTCTGTTGGTTCATGCTCTCATCACATCTGATCCCCTCTGAGGCAGAGTAGCAGGGTATCACCCCACCTAGTCCTGAAATTGCTGTGTCAGAGGCCAGCAAGGTACCTCTATTTTCCGAGCTGCTTCTGCACCCAGGGGGTGTGGCTGGTTCTTCCATTAGCTTCTATTATGGCATTTATCAGACAAGGCAGGGAAATGTCTATAAACTTGGCTTTGGGTATTACTTCTCATGACAACATTTTCCTTTTGTTCCCTGTTGGTGGCAGATTCATTCACTCCATCAGTATGGTATTTCATCTCCATTTATCAGGCTTAAAGTAATAGAAATGGAAATAGAAATAGAAATCGGCAACTAGAACTTTTAAGTAGCCGCATGTAAGAGTGAATAACACTCATGCATTAAATCCTAAAACCTTCAAATCAAAACAGGAGTCTAGTTTTCTTGGTCTAGTTTTCTTGGTTCAATTTAGAAGATGGCACTGTCAGTGAAGAATTTCGGCAAACATGTCTTTCTTCTAAACCATATATGCTAAGAAAATTAAGTCTGGAATCTCCTGAGTGTCTGTTTTTAGCTGGTAAAGAAACAAGAGTACATTTTATATTTTTTACTAGTCTCTATTTGTTTTCACACGCTCAGAGGGTTATGAAAACTCTGGCTTATAGTAATAGAGCAGATGACCTTTCGAAGTTTTCTCTGGCCCTGTGTTTTAGAATTATTCATAAGAGGACATTCCAGAGTTTTAAAATATCCGGCCTTTTCGTTGCTGTTATGATTTAAGGAAGTAAAAATAATCCTATGCGCATGTTATTATATGGGCCAGAATGGCATGTTACCTCCAAAGAATTCAGTAAAGTAAGAGCAGTTTGTTATTTTAAAAATTAAATTAATTAATTAATTACTATTTTTTGAGACATAATCTCTCTCTATTAACCTGGTGTTGAGTGCTATTGTGTCATCATAGCTCACAGCAACCTCAAACTCTTGGGCTAAAGCGATCCTCTTGCCTGAGCCTCCTGAGGAGCTGGGACTACAGGTGTGTGCCACAATACCTGGCTAGTTTTTCTATTTTTAGTAGAGACAGGATCTCACTCTTGCCCAGGCTGGTCTTGAACTCCTGAGCTTAAGCGATGTGCCAGTCTCAGCCTCCCAGTGTGCTAGGATTACAGCCATGAGCCATTGTGCCTGGCCACCGTTTGTTATTTTTTAAGAAAACAAATGATAAAATATTTGCTTACGTGTATGTATTTAGAAAATCAAACTTTATAAGGGGATGATTCTTAGTATGAGAAAGAAATCAACTTCTTAAAAAAGTTAAGAAATCCAGAGTGTGTTTTCAAGTGTAAATAAGAAAAATATATCTTGGGCTTTCATCAGTCTGACAAAAAAATCTTGCTCATGGCACTCAATAGTAAATTTTAACTAAAAAATGCAATTTAAACATAGCAATATGTTTTTAGCATGTGTTGACAATTTTTTTATTTCAGAATAACCACTTTGCATTTTGAAAAATGTGCGTTTTAAAAAGAGATATTTTATATTTAGCACTAATTGAACATTACATGTCTTCATCAGTTTAGCTAGCAACATATGTACTAAAAAAATTTTTTTTTTTGAGATAGAGTCTCAAGCTGTTGCCCTGGGTAGAGTGCTGTGGCATCGCAGCTCACAGCAACCTCAAACTCTTGGGCTTAAGCAATTCTTTAGCCTCAGCCCCCCAAGTAGCTGGGACTATAGGTGCCTGCCACAATGCCTGGCTATTTTTCTTTGTTGTTGTTGCAGCTGTCATTTTTGTTTTAGCTGACCTGGGCCAGGTTCGAACCCGCTAGCCTTGGTGTACCCACTGAGCTACAGGCACCATCTAAAAAACATTTTTTCTTGTCTGTGGCCAACATAGTTTTAGCAGACAATAGTACTATAATGATGGTATTTTTATTATCTAAAGCAACTAATTGAAGAAACGCATGAAAATATCTTGACTAGAGAGTTATTTCAACCAGAAAAAATAGTATACAAAGGACCCAGCTTTGAACTGAGTAGCTATAACTGGATTTCTCCCAATAACCTGATAGTTAACATTTTTGATGTTATTTTCAAATAACTGACTTTGTTGCTGAATTAATATAAAAATGATTAATTTCTTCCTCTTTCTTGTAAATAAAGAATTGAAATAGACTATCAGTAGTTTTAAAACAAGAGATGCATGCCATGACCATCATTGTCACAAGTTTCTGGTGGATTCCTCAAGAACTAGAACTAAGTTTTTAGATGTTGTTTCTTGAAAAAGATTGGAAAAGAAATATAGACTTGGAAGATATATTTAATATAGATACAAGAGATAAACTTGAAGAGCCAGTTCCAAACAGTTAGTGGTGGTTACCTTTGGGGCGGGGAGGCAGATTGGTTGAGAGGAGAAAGGGCTAGAGGTGAGGGGCACTTCCATTTTTTAGTCTATGTTCTTCGGGTTTACTTGAATTTGTACCAATAAGAATCTTTTCATTGTATAAATTTAAAGAGAATACCTAAAATGTGTTTTTAAGAAGAAAGTTAACTGCCTTCCACACACTAGAATAAAATCCCTGTTAGAACTAATAAATAAATTCAGCAAAGTTGCAGGGTACAAAAGCAACACAGATAAATCAGGTGTGTTTCTCTACACCAACAATGAACAATCTGAAAAGGAAACTGAGAAAATAATTCCACTTACAACAGCACTAGAAAGAATAAAATATTTAGGAATAAATTTAACCAACGAGGCAAAAGACTTGTACACTGAAAACTGCAAAACATTGCTGAATGAAATTAAAGAAGTCACACAAAAAATGGAGAGACATCTGTGTTCATGGCTTGGAACACTTAGTGTTGTTAAGGTGTCCATAATACACAAAGTGATCTATATATTCAATGTACCCCTATCAAAATCCCCATGATAATTTTTGCAGAAATAGAGAAATTTATCCCAAAATACTTATGAAATGTTAAGGCATCCTGAATAGCCAAAGCAATTGTAAAAATGAACAAAGTTAGAGGTCTCACACTTCTTGATTTCAAAACCTACTACAATGCTCCAGTAATCAGAACAGTACTGGCATAAAGACCAACATACAGATGAGTGTAATAGATGAGAAAGCCCAGAAATAAACCCTCATGTACATTTCAAATGATTTCTGACAAGGGTATCAGGACTATTCAATGGAGGAAGAACAGTCTTTTCCACAAATGGTGTAGAGAAAACTGGACATCCAACTGCAAAACAATGAAGTTGGATCTTATCTTCTATTATGTACCCAAACAAAGTCAGAGTGGATGAAAGACCCAAACATAACAGTGAGAACTATAAAACTCTCAGAAGAAAACATAGGGGAAAAGCTTCGTGGATCTGGCAATGATTCCTTGGATATGATACCAAAAGTATAGGCAACAAAATAAGAAATAGATAAATTGAACTTCACTAAAATGAAAAACATTTATGCATTAAAGGATACTATTAACAGAGGGAAGAGTCCACCCACAAAATGGGAGAAAACATTTTCAAATCATATAACAGATAAGGGATTTATACCAGAATATGTGAAGAACTGGTATAATGGAACAACAGAAAAAACAAAACAAAACAAAAAACACCTCATTTAAAAAATGGGCAAAGGTCTTGCGTAGACATTTCTCCAAAGAAGGCATACAGATTGTCAATAAGCATAAAAAAAGATGCTCAATGACCCTAATTATTAGGAAAACGCAAATCAAGACCACATGAGATACTATTTCACACCCAGTAGGGTGATTATGATCAAAATAAAACAAGACAAAACAACCAGAAAATAGCAAGCATTGGCCAGGGTGTGGAGAAACTAGAACTCTTGCGTACTGCTAGTGGGAATGCAAAATGGTGCAGCCACTATGGAAAATGATATTGTAGTTCCTCAAAAATTAAAAATTGAGCTAACATATGATCCTCCAATTTCACTTCTGGGTATATACCCCAAGGAATTGCAAGCAGAGACTCAAAAGATACTTGAATATCCATGTTCAAAGCAGCATTATTTACAGTAGCCAAATGGTGGAAGAACCCAAATATCCATCACTGGATGAATGGATAAACAGAATGTGGTGCACACCTACAATGGAATATTAGTTAGCCTTAAAGAGGAAGGAAATTCTGACATATGGTACCACAGGATGACCCTTGAGGACATTATGCTAAATGAAATAAGCCAGACACAGAAAAGCAAATACTGCCTAATTTCACCTAGATGAGGTATCCAGAGCAGTGAAACTCATAGAAACAGAAAAGAGAATGGAGGTTGCCAGGGGCAAGGGGGAGGAGAGAGGGAAGCTATTGTTTAATAGGTACAGAGGTTGGGAAAATGAAAAACGTTCTGGAGATGAATGGCAGTGGTGGGTGAACAACAAGGTGAATGCACTTAATGCCTCTGAACTACACACTGAAAAATGGCTAAATGGGAAACTTTGTGTAGGGAGATGTTATGCTTTTTCCCCACAATTATAAAAAGCGTACTGCAAATGTGTTTGGGGGGATATGGCAGTTGTACGAAAATGGCAGAGCTGCAAAAATGCTTGAAAACAATGCACATTTGAACCTGGGAGAAAATGAGACACTACAGAATTTCTTCTCACTTTTGGTAAAATTCACAAAACTGAACGTCATGTGGATTATTTTGTACCAAATATTCCATGATTCAAGATTTATCTAAATCGGCATCTAAACAAGCATCCGTTATAGTTCTGGAATTTGAATCTTACAGTCACCCTTTGTCTGGAAACAAAGTGGTCAGGCCTGGAAAAGTTTTATAATCATTGGCCAGCAAGGGAAAGTTTGTTATTCAGCAGTATGGATCTGTTTTTCTTCCCTTCTCTATTCCACAGAGGGTTAAAAGTCCTAGACCAGGAGCAGTTGCCCAATAACAAAAGAAATAAGTAATTTGCAGCAGGTGGTTCTAATTGTGCCCATCAAACCTGTCACTCCATTGTGCAGAAGAGTGGAAAATCAATTAGCTGCTCCAGGCTTGGGTACTGAAGAGTGACAGGAGTATCTTACTTCCAACAGGAAATCAGTAATGAAGGAAAATGATTACCAAGGCTGCGAGTGGACCCTCCTGGATCTGAGGGGACATGTTTTCTACTGCCCAACCTTCTCAGACAAAAGACGCTTTTGGAGAATATTCCAATAGGGGTTGTCACTCAAAGAGCAGGACAGTGTAGACCCTTGTTTCTTCACTGTTGGGGTTTGAATGATGAGAAATTAAGAGCATGGGGCACTTCCTGTCCTCAGCTTGCAAACCCCATGTTGGAGTCACTGCTTGGGGTGTACAGTATATATTAGATATGTTAACTGACTTGGAAGGTGCCTCACTCCTGCTCCTGAGTAGTCCTGTAGGACTTGGTCCCTGCCCATGGAGCATGGGCAACCTGGATGGGCTTTGGGGGGCAGAGATTGGGTTAAAAACAAACTTACCTAGGCCATACTTTTGCTATAAAATTGGACCTGACATGAGTGTTGGCTACTAAATATAGTTTACAAAGAAAATGTGAAAACTATTCACAATATATTCCTGTATTCAGTTTTGGGGGAAATGAAACAGATTTTTGTCCAGACATGTTCCTTCACTTCTGTTAGGTCCCTAAGAGAGTCATAAAATAGGAAATATTTGTTCTAAGAGATTTCTGCCTCAGTTTGGTTCATTTTGGTGCTAAGAACTCTCTATAATGTTACTTTAAGTTCATCCATTTATTATATTATTGTACCTTCTTCCCTCATTTCATGCATCTACATTCTATCTCTTTTGCTTCTGGGCTATAAAAGGCACTGGACAACTATGCCATCCCTTCCATTCCATTTGTATAGCATGTCAATGTTTAATGTGATGTCACTCACAAAATCGGTATTCCAGAAATAATTTCCTAGTAAACTCTTGGCTATTAATTTTTTTGTGTAGGCAGGTAACATGAAAAGGTATTAACACAGAGCCACAATATGTGACAGGCACTCAAAAAATATTAAATAAAAAAAAGAAAAGAAAGAATAAGACATAAAAAACAGATCAAACAACTAGGCTTATTTTCTCAGTGAAAAACATAATTAAATTATAATTAACAAAAGGGTCTAGCTTCATTGGTCCGGCACCTGTAAAGTCCAACGTTGACTCACTGATGGGGAGAATTCCAACCCACGGTGCTCTTGGAACTTTTGGGGTGGGTTAGCAAGTTAATAAAGGCTTCCTTCTGCCTGGTAGCTATACCCGGGAAGGAGAAAGGCAGGCCTGAAAACAACCCTGAGATACATACATCAGAGATAATTCTGTATCCCAAAGGGAGGGTCTCCTGAGCATAAAATGTTTCATCAGGTGATTTAGTGTGTCACATGCCATCAATCTCTTTCTGTCTGTGTGTGCACATGTGGGTGCATTTCTGTGTGCGGTCTGGAGGGAAGGTGGTGATGGGAAGGAATAGAGGAGCCATAGCGGGTAAGTGGAGGAAGGCTTTGAATGCTAACTCCCACTAGGACAAGAGCAGGAAAGCATGTAAGAATTCCTCTACCAATTAGGCGCACATGTGAAGGGTCTCTAGATGAAACCATAGCACCAGCTGTCCCATTTTCTGGTATTCCATGGACATTTTAGTGGCCCAGGCAAAAAAGCAAGTCACTTGCTCTGCAGGTATAGTTTCTGTGGAGCCACCGAAGAGTCCCACCCTGCTTCTGTCTTCAGTAGGGAGGAAGTGGTCTCCCAGCCCTCACTGTCCCCCTGGCATGAGGTCACCTTTGCTTTTATATCCTACAAGGACTCCACGTCCGTAGCATGCTGCAAATGGTGTGGGATGCGAGAAAGGGCACAGTCTGTGGGTCAGCATCAGTTGACGTGTACACACAGAGAAGTCTTGATCTAAACAGAAGTGACCTAAGAAGTAACAGTGAAGCCTCTGAACATCCTCCACATTTTATTTAGAGTTCCTATTCTGTTTAAAAAGAGAGAGAGTGGAACCACGCAACTCACATACATCACATTTTAAAAATACTTAATTTTTAAATAACATGTTTTTTTTTTCCATTACGAGCCGTTAGAAGCTAAACCTCAGAAACAACCAAATATATCAGCAAAGCTAATTACTAAACCTTTATGGTAAGTAAAAGTCGCCTTAGATTTTACTATTTGCTAGTCAGCAATCAATTTAGAAATAACACAGTATAATTTAAATTCATCTCAATAAATAATTTCATACTACTCCCATGTACAGCATGCTTTAGATTTTGACAAGTTATAGTTGTAGAGACATTTTTAGCATTCCAAGAGTCCTCGCATCAAAGCATAACATGTTTCTGTTAGCAGATTTTGATTTACCTGTTTGCAATGGTTACAAGTGCAGGGGGACAGTAGTAACCACTGGAAGCATGGCCAAAGCTTCGAAGGACTGTGTCAATTTTGTAACAGAATCTGCCATGTCTCTCCCATCCCTTAAAACAAGAGAAGGGAAATTAAAGACATAATCTGATTTCATTAAATACCAAGGGATCCTTTTTACGTGCGTGTTCACACACACACATTTGCCACTTACATAACTTTCTTCTCTGACTCACCCAAAACTCCTTGAACTTTGGTCTTGATATATTTGTATTTATTGTACCCTGATAATGCCATTAGCTACAGCCATTTTTATATTTATTTAATTAGTTATCTTAAAACCTAAAAATGTTTATTAAATGAAAACCCAATACATCAAAAGCAAATAAAGGGGGCCCCGATCAAGACTGATATTCTTTCTCACTCTCTCTTTCTCTCTTCCACGCGCCCCCCCCATACAGAGGGTAAAAATTAAGAGTGTCACGTCTGAAGTCAGAATGCATAAGTTTGAATGCCCTGGTTCTACCTTATAGTGACCTTGTTTGGTCTCTTAGTTTTCTCACCTATGAAACTGTGATAATAGTATCCCTGGTGCTGTTTTAAGAACCAAAGCGAGACAGTGCAGACAGAGATCTGAGAACTGATACGGGGCTATGAGCAAAGAGGACCTGTGTGCAATATTTGTATCTAGATTACACTGTAGATTTTTTCAATTTTCTGGAAAATGTTAAAACCTAAAAATTTTAAATCAATGATTTCATGTTATCCCATTGGGATTCACCGAGGTTAGGGACTTAGGTTAAGACACAAACTAGCGGATCAGGTGGGCCTGGAAACCAACTCTGTTGCAACCCAGGAAGATCTTCATTGGATCGTGATGTTTTCAAGCAGAAAATGGCATATTTATATATGTATGTGCATGTGTAAAGATTATTCCTAAATTAACTAGCTGGCCTTTTAGAGAGGAAGAGAGCAAGCGTTGGTACTCAGACAAAAATGACAAGTGCGTGGCTCTGTGGCTTAGCCCCGGGGAGCAAAGAAGGGCTTTAAAGTTGGACAGTACAGAAAGCACACATTCATTAGTCTTCTGTATTTCAACTGAGTTATTTTAGTTCTTTTTTCCCCAATATTAAAAAGTCATATCACTTATGTCTATTTTTACTTATTCACCAGTTTTAAAATACTCTTCATTTTATGCCATGCCAATACTTGCCAGCTTTTGATCAGACATAAAATGATTTTTAGTACAGTTCTTGAAAAAGGTCTTGGTCTTGCAGTAAGTTGAAGAAAACCTTAATTTAGAAATCAGCTATTTTAGTTGAAAACCTATCATGAAATGAGGCGTGGATCAGCAGAGCTGCTGCAGCCTCTGTCCAGGATCTGCTCTGAACTCCCGGGCTTTCTGTTCTGCTCCCAGCCCTCTCTGGGTCGCTGACAGCTCCACACAGCTCTTCCCTGGATCGCTTGGGGACGGGGCAGGGAGGTTAGGCTGCTTTTGTGCTTGAAGGAACTGGAGGAGGGAGGCTGACAATCTGACCTTTCTGACAACGTATTTCTTTTTTATTACTAGTTTTTAGATTATAAGCTGCTTCGCAACACAAAGAAATCTCAGAACTCAACAGGCTTAAGAAAAGGGGGGGGGGAAGGATATGTGATAGAATAATGAAAAAAACAAACTCCTATCTACAAGCCTTTGTCCACACAATGAAAGCGGGAATGAAAATTGATTATATCAGTTAACCCTTTGTGTTCTAGATGTAATTTCATTTTTAAATGAAAAATGATGATGACAACACTGTGACAATTGCTCATATAGTCTGATTTCAAACTAGTGGCTTAGAAGGAATAAATAATCACTTTTTTTTTGCTTTGAAATTATACAGGCTACTACCACAAGTTGATTTTGTCAGTGCCGACTGTTTAGAGAATTACATTGAAGCAACCGGCTACAAGAAAGAACCAGTTCAAAGCCATAGTCACAACTGAGGCACAATCAAACTGATGGGAATTTCCCCATAAAGCAAGAGAATGGGCTTTGAATTCAGAATCTCTAAATACTGGTAATGCTGGCTGGAGAAGGGAAGAGCAAACAAAAGTTTGGGTAGAAAATCAATTCTGTTTATCTTGTGAAAGAAGTTAATTGTCCTGTCAACAAAAACAGAACAAGTTGAGTTCCCTTGAAAGCCATGCTAAGACCAATTTTCCCCCAATATTTCTGATTAGAGAACAGTCAGATCAGCTGTAAGTAATTCAGAAATTATAATCATTAGATAAAATGGCAACATGTCAGCTATGGCACGTGTGTTATCTAACTTGAGTGTGAAGAGTGGTTCACATGTCCACACATTGATTAAGGAATAAAACGCAATTTCTGGAGAGAGGGTCTAGTGGCGGGAGGCATAAAAAATAGGATTCAAAGAGAAAATAATTAGAGTTGCATAAAAATCGGTTCTGGGAAAATTTTTAGATTCATATAGTGAGAGAGAGAGAGAGAAAGAGAAAGAGAGGAAAGGAGAGAGACAGAGGACATGTGTGCATGTGAATACACGTGCCTAGGACACTGATAGGTAGAGTGTAGATTTCATGCAAATTTACTGCAGCATATTGAATATATTAAAAAAAATTTAAACCTAATTTTCTACCTTTTAATTTTAAAGCATCAAGTTTTTTTTATTACTTAAAATATCTAAGATGGTTTTTTACTTAAAATACTAAATTAAAGAACCTTTATTATCCCCTTTTCAAATCATAAATATACCACAGACATGCACTTCTCTCCATCATTATATTCTACTCAAATACTGAAGTCTAAGAAAGGTGAAAGGAGGCAAGACCCTGGGTGCAGAAGTTCACTCTGGTTCAAAGGAGCACAGTAGCTTTGACAGCCCACTTCAAAACCAGGAAAACTGGGTATGAGACTGGGCAGCACAGGACAGTCATTGTAGAGATGATGTATCAGGACTTTTTAGATAGTTTTCTATCTAAAAAGAAAAGTAGTCTTAGGTCAAAGAAGACAGCAAGACTGTTCTAGGAAATAAAAAAGGAACAGGGAAGGAAAGAAGGGAGAGAGGGCCAGAGAGAGGGACGCACACACACTCACTTCAAATTGATGGCATTTATATTATCCCAGTTCTGAAGTCCCTGGACCGAAATCACAATGTTTAACAGCACTTACCTCTTGACATCCTGTTTCAGCGTCAGAAGGGACACGGCCTGTTTTTTCACAAATGTAAAAAAGTGTTTCTTCACAATTTTTAACTTTCCAGTGTCCCTCCTAAGGGGAAAAATGTTGCAAGAATTCACTCTGTGCTAATGTTGAAGGACAACACCAAATATTATGAACACAAATATGATTAGTATCAAATGTTTCTGCCTGGGGTCATGTTTCAGAAGGGCCCCTGCCTCGTCATAGACCAGGCTGAGACTCTCTCTATGGTGGGAGGTCTCTCTCTCCCGGGCGTGAGTTTCAAGGGGCACAGTCCCAAACTGGGTGAGCAGAAACAACTACTTGTGTTCCTTGATTGCTGTCATGTGCTGGGCTTAGGGTAGGGTGACTTTGGCATCTTATCTCAATGCGTCTGTGGAGTTAGGTTTAACATTTTGCATGTGGTCCTATGGTCAGTAAAAGCTGGAGCTTGGATTGATACCAAGGGCAGCCTGGCCTTCCATTAAGCTCTTCTCAATTTTTCTTTAAAAAGACAGGATAGAGCTGTGCTGCTCAATCTTCAGCGTTCACTAGAAGCTCCCAGAGGGGGCCTGAAACACAGATGACTGGGCGCTGTGATGAGTGTCTCATTCAGTAGATCAGTGGGACCCAAGAATTTGCATTTCTAACAAGTTTTCAGGTGATACTGATGCTGGTCTGGGGGCCACACTTTGAGAACCACTTGGATGAAGCCATTCTCCTGATCATGCGAGAGTGCTGTATCTTCTCTCAACCCCTTCTAAGTGTTAAGCTGAATGCTTTGCTGCTTTCATGTATAAACCTAGAACAGGGGAAGTGCCAGAGAGCGGCCGTGAATCATCCTAGACCATATTCGTGCAGGTGAAGTTCACGTGTAACTCCCAGTGTCTCCTTTCATTGCTGATTCTGCACAGACCACCCCACTTCTTCTCTGTAAGACAGGCAGATACCTTTGTGTCTTCACAAAGGTCTACCAAAGGCTCCTGTCAGAGTCTTCATTAATAATGATAATAACTACTAACAGATTAAAATTTTATCTTTCCAAAGGATGTTTTACAACACAAATCAGAAGAACTTTAGGCTGAAGCTACACAATTCAAATTCCAAGTGGAATTTCAGGCATCCAGACTTTTAGGGAAATATGGAGCCCTCAGGAAAAGACTACGTTGGGGCTAACATCTTCATCTGTAAGAGGAATACTGCACCACTACCCCATGGAATCTTCCAGCAAACCATCCAGTTACAGAACAATGTCAGGCATACTGTAGTTGCTTAATAACTGCTGGATGGGTGAATAAATAGCTTCCTCGGATCTCACATTCAAATTTAAGTGTCAGCCATGATTAGATAACTTGTTAATTATAATAATTATATTCATACTGAGTTCTACTTCATGGAAATAAATGTTAATTTTTATACATCTACTATTTAAGGAGCTACTGAATTGCCAAAAAAAGGGGCCATAAAATATCACAGTTACAGCCACACTGTCCTGACACATCCAATAATATCAATTCCTAGTCTCACTCTCTTAAAAATAACCCCTGTCCAAATGTTGGCTCTTGCTCTGGAAAGATGCTAAATGAAATATCTACATCTGTCAGTACAAACGAAGGTATCTTAAATATATTAACACCAGTGAATGTACAGATAAAGCATCAGATACTGTGGAATAAACTATGATGGATTTCATCAGATCTAGGCCCAAAGCAAACATGTAGAGGGTCACTCTTTGTCCCTCCTCCAGTGTGACTCAGAGACACTGCATGGGCACCTATATTATACCTGCACTTGGAGCATCTCTTGCCTTACGAGATGAAATGTGTCATAAAGTGAAGTGCTTAGAAATTTTCCATGTTTGATTGGCACAATTACTTTGTCAAGCAACTTCAGTAACATTTAAGAAACTGCTTTTTGGAGGAATCTGACATAGTATTCTGGTGGTTAGAAAGAGTGAAGACACCCACCTAGTCCCAACAACCTCCTCAGACTCAGCCAGTACATTCAATAGTCATCTGATCAAAGCGATTAAGTCTGCTTTAGACATATAATAAAATGTTCAAATGGCCCAGGATTAAGCTAATTCTGTATAATCAGGTGCTTTAGATGAATGAGAGACTAGAACACAGGGATAAGCGTGATGTTTGGGCCGCTGGGACCTTTCCATTCACGTGAGAAAAAGAGTAAGATTTGCCATTGCTTTACAATTTTCAAAGAGGTTACACGTAACATTTAGAGGCTTTTATGTTCACATGTTCTATTAATAAGATAATGGGGGCTTAAAAACCATCACTTTCCAGAGTAATCTTCCATTCTCTGTTCTTTCCTTCATCCTCACAGCACCACCATCCACCAAAATGGTAGCTGCTTAAGCAAGAAATCTGCTTCTCTCTCAGCCTCACATCTAATTTAGCCCCAAGTATTGTTCTCCAAAGCATCCTTGAACCTGTCCACTTCTCTTCATAGTCACAACCCTAATTCAACCGAGGCATAGCCACCAAACTGGTCTCTCTCCTTCATTTTATCCCTCTCCTGCCCATTCTCTTTGTAGCAGCCATGGTTAGTTTTTGAAAACATCAATCAGATCCTGCCCCTTTTTCCTATGCAGCACTTGCGTGGCTCCATTCTGTGGTCTATAAGCCTGGAATTTTTGCCTTTCTGCTGCCTGCCTCCTACTTCCTCCTCACCATGGGTCTCCTTTGTGATCATGATACAGAAGCAAGGCTTGGCCTCTGGGCCTTTGCACGTGCTGCCCTCTGCTTGCTGTGCTTGCAGTGTTCTCCCTGTTCTTCAAGATGTTGTGATTTTTTAAAGTCCTGGGTTAAATGTTACTTTTTCAAAGCAGCTTTCTCTGACTGTCCTGTCTGAGCTGAACCAACCCAAGCTTCTCACCATCATGTCACCTATTTCCTCAGAGCAATTATCACACCATAATTACCATGTTTTTTCCAGGTGTGCTTGCTCACTGCCTAGTAGCGTGGAAGCTCCATGAGCAGGAGCGACTGTGCCTGTCTTGGTCTCTGCCCCAGCCCCAGTCCCCGACATAGGTGGTCCTTGATACTAGTTCTGTAAAGTGAGCTTTGAACAAGGGAATCAACTCACAGAATGTTCTGCTGAGACACATAGCTGGCTTCTATTTGGAAAAATGTGTGGCTCATGGGTATTCCAATTGGTAAAGATGACTGAAGAGCCATTAGACCATTCAAAAGAAACTGGAATTTTATTGCTGCTCAAACCAATCCATGTTTCTGATGCATTTTCTATAAGAAATAAATGCAAGTTACTCTTAAGACTATTATGTGCAAAGGAGATAACACACAGGGTATATTACCAAAATATACCACTTTGCATGTGATTTCTTCCTTAGTCTCTTCATGTGATGAAATCTGTTTAAGTCTTGGTATAAAACACTTGTTTACATCTTTCCCCCTTCGCCCTCCTTAGGTTTGAATGTTCTCCCCTCTCTAAAACTCATGTTAAAAGTTAATTCCAATGTAGCAGTATTGAGAGGTAGGGCCTTTAAGAGGTGATTGGGTCATGAGGGGACATGACTGTGCCTTCATGATGGATTAATTCATTCATGGATTAATGGGTTATCATGGGATAATGATTTTATAAGAAGAAAAAGAAATCATTTGTACCCTCTCATTAATCTGAAATTAAAAAAAGAAGAAGAGAGACCTGAGCTGGCATGTTCAGCACCCCCTGCCCATGATACCCTATGCCACCTCAGGACCCTGAAGAGAGGCCCCACCAGCAAGAAGGCTCTCACCAGATGAGGCACCTTGATGTTAAACTTCCCAGACTTCATAACTGTAAGAAATAAATTCCTTTTTAAAAAAAATATTCACTCTTAGTTATTCTTTTATGAACAACAGAAGATAGACTAAGACACCCCATAATGTCCAGATCTGCTAAAGAGAGGCCTTATAAGTGAGGCAGAATATGAGCTCAGACAATGGAAGGACAAAGCCTAAGCAAGTCATACTCGCAGGACTCTGGTTTCTGCCATGGTATGCAAAGTAGATCTGAAAAGTTTGGTTTTGCTCTACCTAGAGGAAGGAAAAGTAAGGACTATTGGATTATGAAAAGGGCATATTTCAAAAAACTTTTAATGATAGTCTAGCTTGAAGATACTTTTTTTCTTGACTTCTTTCTTTTTTGCCATGAGAAAAAGAAGTAGAAGCTCTTAATGGAGAAGTAATGGAGTTGCTGGAAAAGTAACTAAAGCTTGACAGCCTCAGTGGCATGAAAGGCCCCATGTAGCCGAGAGAGATGTGCAAGTGCCCTTGTTGATATCAAACACCCACAGGATTTGTTTAATCCCAAATGCAAAGGATTACGAAAAATGACAGGGAAGGAATTGTGTTTTCACTCCAAACTAAAACTTAACGTTGAAAAGGTCATCAAAGTAGAGACGGGGGATTTTGTTTTGTTTTGTTCAAGGCAGCACTTTCATTGTTTTTCAGCAGAATTCTACATTAAATATATCATATAATGAGGAGCGAATTTGTTCTGATGGACTGACCTGGGTGCAAGCCCAGAAACCTAGAACTCCTGGACATGGTACATAGCCTGAAAAGTACCTTACCAAGTAAATTATTCACTTTCACTTGCTAAAATTATTTAAATTCAATTATTTGTCTAAGGAATTCCCTTTGGTACCTTGATTACATGACCATAACACACTACTGATATCTAGTGGTCATAAAGCTAAATTATAGGTTTAGGATTTTATTTGGAATTTTAGGAAGTAACCTTTGCCCCCTTAAAAAAATTAAAAATTATCTAATACATATGGAGATGTTACAAAGTCTCCAAACATGTATTTTAATCCAATTAATCTTCATGACTTGATTTCTCTGGCACCATGTCCAGGAGTTATTATTTAGAAACTTTAAATTAATGTGTGCCATAAATAACCACTTTTAAATAGCTTAGATTTCTTTTCAATTCCACTAGTAAAAGTAGTTACTACATTACATTTTATACCTCTTCAGCCAAAGGTAATTGGTACTCACCATCTCCAAGGAGGGTTACAAGAAACTCCACCTCTGCTAATGAAATGGTGTCTATTAGTGTACTGTTATCAGACTGGCAAGAACGCAAAGCCTCATTCCAGGTCTTTTCTTCCTTCTGAAGTTTGTAGCAATTACGATTGTAGGGGTTCCACCCAGGCTCACAGTGTGTAGCATGATATTTCCAAGCATCTTTTTCTTCTTAAACCAATAACAACAACAAAAAGTCATTTTGTACAATTATTTTGACAATTGCTTATTATCCTTTATATAAATTGCCATCAATAGGATTCCTTTAAAAATGTGAAAAACAGAAACATATGAAATGACTTTTCAGTCATAGAATTCTAGATCTTCAGGGTTGAGAGTGTCTAGTCTTCTAGATACAGGATCAAATGTACCTCAAAACTACTTTTTTCAGTTTAGCTATCTAAGGTACAAAGAAGTGAGAATAGTAGTGATGTCAGCAAAGTGGCTGGCTAGGACCTCCTAGCACATATCCCCACACAGGAACAGCCAAAGCAATGAATAAACAACCACATCTTGGTGAAGGTAGTTCCAGAATATATCAAGAAGTTACAGAAACAACAAAAGACATAGAAACCTTCTCCTTTGCCACCCTATCTCCTAGGGGAGATCAGCTCAGAACAGAAAGAGGGGGTCCTCCCCCTGTGGGGACAGAGTGAGCAAGAAGACCCTGGAAGTCCCCATCACCACCGTGATCAACTATAGTCCTCACAGGCACTAAGTCCAGCTGAGAGGGCTGCCTGAAGTTGACACAGCTTTGCTTTCCTCAGAGAAAGAGCTGATGTTGTACTCTGTCCCACTGTGGCCCCTGTGGCTACTGTGCTGCCCCATATTGGAAAAAGAACCACTGCTGGAGTGTGCTGTGCTCCAGGGGCAAGGAGCTATGGTACTCTTACATCCTTGCTGCTCTGTTGCCACTGCACCCAATACCCCTGTGTGGCCCTGTAGGACCAGGCTACCACAGAGTACTTCATCAATCTCTCCCCAATGCTGCTGCACTCTGCCTTTCAGAGCATGAGTTGGCTTGCTTATCAGCCCATCTCCCCCCCAAAACAATGTCTTGGCCAACCAGAATAGTCATGCTGCCCAACTCCTGTGCTGAAGTGGTATCCTGCCTCTGTGCTAGTGTGGCACCTGGGAATCCCTGCCTTGAAAGCCCAGAGCAGTCTCGTCCTAGTGACTGAGCTGAAGTGATACCACACCTCCCAGGGAATTCCTGCCTTGGCTGCCTAGATCAGTCACACCCTGCACCTGAGCTGACATGGTGCCCCACCTCTATGGAAAATGGTTCCTTTACTGCTCAAAGCGGTCATGCACCCCTTCATGTGAGCAAAGCAGCATCCCACCTCATAGGGAATTGGTGTCTTGTCTGAGGTGAGCAGCCATGCCTCACACGGTTGAGCTGATAAAGCAGCCCCTGTCCCAGTGAAACAACATTTGCTGAGCTGGAATACCTGCATTCCAGGCCAAACAACTGTAGCACACTGCTTCCCTGGAACTGGACTAGTCCCCTTAAAACCTGACCTGCTGAGGCACTATACCTCCCCAGGGAGTGGAATCATCCTTTTGCTACTCCTTGCCCCCAATGGCCTTAGCTACAGTTACGTTCCACCCCTCCTGGGTCCTTGGTGTAACTGTGCCTGACCTCACAGAGTCTGAAATGCTGCTGGGTCCCACCATCTCTGGGTCAAGCCTCATGCCCCAGAGCTTGCATTGACAAGCCCTGGTTCTTTAACTACAGCTGTGCCCTGTTCTCTGGGGTCAACCTTCCAGAGAACTCCTTCTTCCTCAGAGCTGGGGCAGTGCTGTGCTTTGTTCCCCAATGGCCAGAGTCACAACTCTATAGGTAGACACTTCTGAGATGTGCTTAAGAAACACAGATCTTAGTTTTGTGGGTAATATTTTGTGGTACTCTCATGCCATTGAGAGTGAACCTGTGCCAGAAGTCCCCAGCCCTACTTCTTCAATTTCTCTGAGCATCTGTGTTCTGAACTCCAGCAACACTGTTTTGGGGCCATGTCAGACCCAGCACCAAAAGGAATCCTCTCAGCTAAGACTCCCTATTCTTGGGAAGTGAGAACAGGAAGGATCCACAAAGCCCTTGCCACTGAAGACTCTAACAGAATAGGCTGCTGCAGCTTCTGCTGCTGCTGCAGCCCCAAAGACCTACAGCCTGGGCCACTGAGGCACCCATGGTCATTGCTGATATTAATTGCAGCTAAAGAAACTGCATGGAGGCTATGCCAACTGCATCCACTTGGACCTAAAGCCAACATAATCTTCCTAACTAGCACCCTAAGGCACATTTGCAGGTGAAAGTCTTTCCCTGTAGAAACCACTTGGTAAATTTTGAGATGACTATTCCACCAGATGTAGAGACATCAATGAAGGAACAGAAGAAACATGAAAAATTAAGAAAATATGATACTACCAAAGGAACATAATAATTCTCCAGTAACTAACCCCAAGGAGGAGGAAATTCACAAATAGTCTGAAAAGGAATTGAGAATAATGATCTTGAGGAAACTCAGAGAGATATAAAAGAATACAGATAGATAATTCTATGAAATCAGGAAACCAGTTCATAATCTGAATGACAAATCCAACAAAGAGATATCTTTAAATGGAATCAAGCAGAAACAACAGAGCTAAAAAATTCTGTGAATGAAGTAAAAACTATAATAGAGAATTTCAATAGGAGATTAGATGAAGCAGACGAAAGACACTGTGAACTCAGATTAGTCTTTTAAAATTGCCCTGTGAGGGGGAAAAAAAGTGAAAAAGTGAAGACAGCCTATGAGACTTAAGGGATACTCTTAAGTAAACAAACATTCAAATTATAGGAACTTCGGAAGGAAAAGAGACAGAGAAAGGGATAGAAAACTTATTTAATAAGGTAATTGGAGACAACTTCCCAAGTCTTGGGAAAGATATGAACATTTGGATCTATGAAACTTGAAGGTCCCCAAACAAATTTAATCCAAAGAAGTCCTCTCCAAGGCACATTGTAATCATATTGTCAGAGAGTTTTAAAAGCAGCAATATAAAAGTGTCAAGTCACATATAAAGAAATCCCCATTGGGTCATCAGCAAATTTCTCAGCAGCAGGCTTGCAACCCAGGAGAGAATGTGATGATATATTCACAGAATGAAAAGAAAAAATTTTTCAGCAAAGAACACTATACCCATCAAATCTGTTCTTCAGAAATGAAGAAAAAATAAAGGAAAAATAAAGCCTTTCCAAATATGTAAAAGAGAAGAGAATCCATCATGACTAGACTTGCCTTACAAGAAATACTTAATGGAGTTCTTTCTTCTTCTTTTTTTTTTTTTTTTTTTTTAAATTGAGACAGAGTCTCACTTGGTCACCCTCTATAGAGTCCTGTAACGTCATAGCTCACAGCAACCTCAAACTCTTGGGCTCAAGCAATTCTCTTGTCTCAGCCTCCAAAGTAGATATAATGCTCAGCTATTTATTTTTGTTGTTGTTGTTTATTTGTTTAGCAGGCCAGGGCACCCGTAGCTCAGTGGTTAGGACACTGGCCACATGCACAGGGCTGGTTCAAACCCACCAGTCCTGTGCATGTGGCCAGCATCCTAATCACTGACCTATGGGTGCCCAGCCCTTAATGGAGTTCTTAAAGAAGAAGTGAAAGGATGCTAATTACTGACATGAAAATACATGAAAGTATAAAATTTACTGGTAAAGGTGAATGAATATGTATAGTCAAATTCAGAATACTTAAATATGATACTGGTGATCTGTAAATCATTTACATCTCTAGTATGAAAGTTAAAATCAAAATGGTAAGAAATAACTATAGCTACAATAAGTTAAGATATAACAAAAAGAGATAAATTGTGACATCAAAATTTTAATTGTCAGAGGAGCAGAGTAAAAGTCTAGAGTTTTTATGTCCAACCAAAGTTGAGTTGTCAGTATAAAATATTCTGTTGTAACTATAAGATATATGTCTCCTAATCATCACAAAGCAAAACGTATAGTAGATACATAAATGATAAGGAGAAAGGATTTACAATTTAGCACTCTAAAAAAATCAAATCACAATAGTAAACCAAAAAGGAAGAAAAGAACAAAGAATCTATAAAACCAACAGAAGACAATTAACAAAATGGTGGTAGTAAATTCTTACCAATAATTACTTTGAATGCAAATGGATTGAATTGTTTAATCAAAAGACAGAAAAATGGCTGAATGGATGAAAGGTTACTAGAGGTTAAGAATGGGAGGGGGAATTTAAAGAATACAAAGTAACAGATGCACAGGATGAACAAGTTTAAAGATCTACTGTACATGAAGACTCTAGTTAATAATAGTGAATTATATACAGTGGCTCACGTCTGTAATCCTAGCACTCTGGGAGGCCAACACACGAAGATTTCTTGAGGTCGGGAGTTTGAGACCAGCCTGAGTAAGAGTGAGACCCTGTCTCTACTAAAAATAGAAAAATTAGCTGGGCATTGTGGTTGGTACCTGTAGTCCCAGCTACTCTGGAGGCTGAGGCTGGAGGATTGTTTCAGACCAAGAATCTGAGGTTGTTATGAGCTATGATGATGCTACTACACTCTTGCCTGGGCAATTGAGTGAGATTCTGTCTCAAAAAAAAAAAAAATAGTGAATTGTATTCACTATGAGTAGATTATAGCTGCTCTTGTCACAGGAAAATAAATGGGTAACTATAAGATCACGGATATGCTAATTTGTAAAATAATCACCATTTTACTATATATGTGTATCTTATAAGATCATGTTGTATACTTTAAATATGCACAATATAATTTATTTTAAATATAGTGATAAAGTAAAAAAAAAACAGTCATAAAGAGACTTGACAAAAAGTTATACCATGAAAACTGAGAGTCAGGGCTAGGTATAAAATTTAATAGCTAGAGGGCGGTGCCTGTGCCTCAAAGGAGTAGGGCACCAGCCCCATATACCGGAGGTGGCGGGTTCAAGCCCAGCCCGGGCCAAAAACTGCAAAAAAAAATTAACAGTTAGAACTGCTCATTTTTGAAATCTTTTTATATTGTAAAAGGAGTATTAAGGAATAGAAAGGGATTTATAAGAATCCTATACATAGTATTTGAGTTAAATAGACATATATCCTCAGCTGGAAAGAACTTAAAACTCTGACCATTTCTTCTAAGGCTGGAATGATAAGTAGGTTTCATTTGAGGGTCAGCGTGAATGACTCTGGTGCCACCCTGAGTTGATGTTAACTCTGGATTGGACTTACCGGAACCTAGTGCCATGATACTGTGGGCATTGCAGGGGAAGATGGTGGTGTACATGCTGAGTTTGGGCTTTGCTTTTCCACAATCTTGTCCCTAACCTGATAAGCATTTTTACCTTATTTTCATAATCACAGTTAAGTGCCTCCCTTAAGAACTGAGTTAAATATGACTTCAAAACTATTTGGAGCCATAAAAACATACTTTCAAAATTGCTTCTAGGACTCTCACAGCAATTAGAATTATGGCAAAAAAAGGTTGGAACATTTAGATAACGATCTACCTCAATGGTTTTCCACCTACATGGAAACAACCACGGAATCCTTTTTAAATATGGAATTTTTAAGAGGACCTTCTGTGACTGAAGCAGAGGCAGAGCCAGGTAAGGAACCTGGGGATGCTGGAATCACAGATCTGAAGTCACTGGCCTCCATTGTCAAAAGGAGTTTTTGAACTTGAAGCAATAGCAAATGATCCAAACAGGCTTAGCTTAATTACTCCCATTTCTGGTCTTCTGACCTCAATTAGTAGACCAGAAAAATAAATAAAATAGAAGGAAAAAAAGGTGACAGGAGGGAGCACCAGATGACATAAGAAAGAAAGAAGGAAGGGAGAAAGGAAGATGAAAGAAAAAAAAAAGAGGCAGGGAAAAGGGCCATAACAGCTGGTAGCCACTGTAGCAAATTCTGGAAGTAATGGAAACATCTCCCTATGAAAAAATGAACGGTGTCTTCTCTCTGCACCCTTCCCCTATATTCTACAATACTTAGCTATTTTAAAGGAATAAGAAGTTAAAACATAATTTCAAGGCATAATATTTTAAATGATGATTCAGTTTATTATTTTAAATCTAGAGTTGTTTTTAATGATTCTTTTAAAAAAATCGTTGTGTTTTTAGTCTCTACTTTCTGAGTTAAGATACTAATTCCCACAGAAACTAAAAAGAGGTAATAGACCTTAAAAACAGAAATAATTTTACTTCCGGAACTACATTGTAATTAGGTATTATTTAAGCATTAATTACATATAAATTTTTTTTTTTTTTTTTTTTTGCAGTTTATGGCCGGGGCTGGGTTTGAACCCACCACCTCAACAGCATATGGGGCTGGCACCCTACTCCTTTGTGCCACAGGCGCTGCCCCCATATAATAGTTTTGTATGTTATTTCAGAGAGGAGGGTGCATTACTAAAAAGAGATTCAGAGTGTGAGAGAAAAATCAATAAAATAATCATAAAATTGTTTTCTAATTTATGTTGAATTTCTAGGTGAACCATAAATAAAACTCAAAACTGGAATAGAAAATGAAGCCTATCTTGTTTCTCTAAAGTGAGAATACAAAGAGAGGAAGAAATGTTTGCTATGTACAGGTTATTTTGTTTCAGTTTTTAGTAAAAACCTAAATGCATTTGTTAAATTCAGGGTGCCTTTGGAATAGTAAATACTTTTCTAGTTACCCATTTTTTTCCTTTGTTTACTTAAGGGCGTCCCATAAGTCCCATAGGCTGTTTATAAAAATCCAAACCAGGCTCAGCTAAATTTAAATTACAAATTATTATCAAAAAGAAAATAGATGAATTCGAATTATGGCGAGGACAGGCAAAACAACCCACAGGAACAACTTCAAATGAAAACACTTACCAACTATTTCGTGATCAGTGTGGTTTAGGTACTTTTTACATATATACGGCAAGGTGGATTTACAATCCCGACTCCTCCAGGCACTTGTCATAAATGAATTGAATGTTCCACAGGGATATTCAACAAGGGGCTCAAAATTTATCTCTGAAAATACAACATGTATGTTTAAATGAGAAACAAGAGCAGTTCCTTTACTATATTTTGGAATGAATGTCGTTTTAGCATGGGGGGACAGCCTTTCTATTTGACATCTGTAGTAAATCCTGTAAGAAGACCTTATGTTATATCCATGATTTTGCAGTTAAGTCCAGCCACAACAATTAAGTGATTTCCCAAAGTTTGCTAAAGACCCAATTTTATTATTTTAAAGGAGATAGATACTTTGCATTTATTGCTATTTTCAAAATAGCCGACTAGAATCTTGGCTGTGACTCAAATGCTCCAGCAACTTTGGTTAAATAACTTACCTTCTTGGCCTCTATTCTCTTGTTTGGGAAAGTTCGCCTTATAGAGAGCCAGTCAGGCTAAAAAAGCTGTTTATAAATCACTTTCAGAATAATATGTCATATCTGTGTGGGAAATGCTGCTGCCCCAGGCTGCAGGATGGTGTCACATGATGGAGGCAAATGAAACGCTGGCTGCAAGTACCTGGGTTCCAGTTAAGGTAGCTGAGCGGAGTCCCATCAGACCACTGCCAGCCTGCCTTGTCATCCGGCTGGTTCAGACCTATCCACACTTCCACTGTGTCACCACTCATGTGCTCTAAAAAGAAAGGAAAAAAGAAAAAAAAAATCAGTGTTACACTTCTTTCTTGTTCTCCTAGTCCTGGATCATGAAGTCGTAAATTAATCCTCGTCAGTGAAAGAAATGGTGCTTAAAAGTGCCAAAGCAAACCTCCTCTGTCTTGGGAAACACAGCACTTGCCCATCGGCTCACTGACAGCTGTTCATAGTTTAGCTTCCTAGCGCTTCATCTAAGCATCCAAGAAAGGCTGCCTTTCAGCCGTCATCTTTCTATCCAAAAGTCTTGGTTTCAAATTTGAGGCCATCTTATTTGTGTTAGCTCATGTACTTAAAGGCTTCAGAGGGTAGTCGAGGAAGTGTCCAGGGCCACTCCAAGAAAAGGAACAGAGGTAAGCCTTCAAACTTAAAGTGTGCTGATGTGGAGCAGGGAGGGGGCTGGGCAGTGTGGGAGCTCCGTAGAGTTGCCCAGCTAAGAGGGGGAGCATAATCCAAGGTACCAAACTACCCAGAGGGATCCCTACCTAGCAGGTTGGGTCCTACGGCTGTGCACAATGCAAACTCGAGGCTGCTTCCACACTTGGGAGGGCAAGGGTTTTAGGGCAGGCTGGCTCTGTAGTCACTACTTCTAATCACAGCACCCCAACAACTTGTGGTTTGGTTCAACAGCCTTTTTGTTATAGACACTGTGAATAAACGCATGCATTGACATGCTTGTGCCAAAAAAATGTGGTTATTGGAATTATAGAATTATGGGGAAATTTTACTTGATTTTTCTTTTTGCACCCCTAACTTAATAAACATATACTTGTGCAATAAAATTCAAAATAAAAATAAACCCAGTGTCAGAGAACTTTTAATGCAAGTGGCTTATTTCTTGACACTTTCAAATGTTGCCATTTAATTAATCTATGAAGGAGAGCATTGCTCTTTTATGGTCCATTTGCTTCAAAGCTCAACTTATTTTGAGCCAGATGCAGGGTCCCAGTCTGAAATTAAGACCTGGATAGATAAGGATTATAAAGAGGGTGACTATATGTCCTATAGTTGATGCTAGTAGTTCCAGAATAATTATTAATTGCAGCCCATTGTTCTCTCCAGAGAGTCTCAGTTTGAATGGCAGACTGTATGATTACTCGGGTTATGAGAGTCATTGTAGTCAGGTAACGAGGCTACCGCATCCTCAGTGACCGGACATTTCAACACAATGATGAAAAACTGGAAGAACTTAATCCACTTAAGAAAATAGAAAAAGGTGCTTTATAATTGTAAACCCGCAGAAATCACTAAACAGAAACAATGGACTATATCTGGGCCCCACCCTTCCAAGTTTCTGTGGCACTAACATGTTGTCTCTTCCTAATATCCCTTTGATTAGTTCTTTCAATACAACCATTTGATTAAAAATCATTTAACAGAAGTTTGCTGTGAACTGTGATGCCACAGCACTCTACCCAGGGCAACATAGTGAGACTCTGCCTCAAAAAAAAGAAAAAATCATTTCCTACGGCTTCTGATGACACGAGGTGAAACAGATTGATAAGGAAGAAACTTGTACATCTCATTTCTGGATCAGTGCCAAATGATACTTTCAAATCTAATTAAAATCTTAAAACATTAATTATTTTTACCTTAGAATTATTTAAGTACTCGTTGTGCAATTGTTTTCATAATACACATAATAAATCATTGTGCAATTTACAGTCTGTGCCTAATGGTATAAAAACAGTCTCTTTACCTTTACAACTAAATTGGTCCACAATACTGTAATAGCAAATTGAAACCTAAATTCCCTTGGATATTTTTTGGCATTTGTGGCAGCTTAGATAATTCCTTATGCCATAGTATATATACACCAGTGATTGGCAAGAAACATTAGACCATTCTCATCATTAAAAAAATACCTTGGTCAGAACAGGTGTTTGTCTTTATGAATAGACTTCTGGTTTTCTAAACAATTCCCAAAGACTAGCCATAGAATGGAGGTATTTAAATCAGAGTCTCTGACATATATTATTTTTAAAAATTTGTTATTCAAATTTGATGAATAAGTCTAAACTCTGTCATCAAAAATCCTGGCAGTTAAGATAGATAACAATTATAATTCATAAGCAGTGCATACACTTTTATATAAAAACCATTTCAGGCTAATAATGATTTTAGAAATTGATGTTTTCCTGTACTATGATGTACTCAAATCAGCTTCTATGATAATCCCCCACTTTTGCATAGTTGTAGGGAAGGACAGGCATTCACTGTTCATTCATCTGTTACAATTCCCTTGGAAGACATTAATGACTTTTAAAAGCTTTAAAATGTGCTTATTTTCCATCCAGTGAATTCACTTCTATAAACTTGTAGAGAAATAATTGAAGATTCTGTGCACTTAGGTATATGCAGGGATGGTTTATAATAGCAACAAATAACTATAAATACAAATAAAACAAACAATTTAACCTATATCCCTAATAGGAGGAGATTAGATTAATATAGTGTATTACTGCTAACCTATATTACTCTTCACTAAAATTTATGATGTGGATCTGTATTTATAGACACAGACGAATGTTCATTTTACACAGGTAAATGAAATAAGCAGATTACCCAACTGTGCCTAGTTGTTGCCAAACAGTTAGCACACCTTGAGTGTTATGTTTGCCAGGCATTTTCTAAGATCTCACTTACATTGCAAGATGTAACCCACACCAAGAAGTAGACACCATTATTATTTCCACTTAGCAGAGGGAGATGAAGTTACTTGCTTCAGTAATCCTGCTAGTAAGTAGGAGAGGCAGGATTCAAACCCAGGCAGGTGGCCAGGGATTTTCTAAGATCTCACTTACATTGCAAGATGTAACCCACACCAAGAAGTAGACACCATTATTATTTCTACTCAGTAGAGGGAGATAAAGTTACTTGCTTCAGTAATCTTGCTAGTAAGTAGGAAAGGCAAGATTCAAAGTCGGGCTGGTGGCTTTCTAGTCCCTGTTCCTAACTACGGTGTAAAAGCATTTTGTTTTTATACAATAGCATTTTTTACAGCTACTACACATATACACATGCATTTATCTATTTTTGCAGAAAGATATGATAATTTCTGGATTGCAGACTTGTTTCACGTGTTTTTCTGTCTGTGCACCTGAATCTAAAACATTATTAAAAAATAAACACACACTACATGTGTGAGAAAATTTGAAAAAAATAATACCAGAAACTTCGAATGAAAATGAATAATTTTGTGATAGCTTCTAATGTTTCCCAAAAATGTTAGAGGAGGTATATGTAAACACATACAAGCACATTTAATCTATAAAGGAGTAAGAGTGTTCAGGTCATGGGCGAATTCTTTCAGTATCTTATATTAGTGTCCAGATTGTTAGTTAACATGCATATGCTTTTGCTTTTCTAAAAATTTTCAAGTTCTTTGGCATCTACCAGAAGGCCTAGATATATTTTGTACCCAGTGAGTGATAGATCAGATTTTTTTTTGGTAAACTACTTAATTATTTACTAATGGAAATGGAATGAATAAGATCTCCAGAAGAGTGAGAATTAGCACTTAAGTTGAGCAGTCTCCTCGATCCACTTGATAGAACTGCAGCTCTCCTGGGTCCCTTCCCTGTGGCTTCAGATTTTCTTCTCCAAGAGGGCTAAAGTGAGAAAGACACGACTGGGTGCTAAATGGAGTGGCCCAGCGTTCACGGGAAAATTCTGAGGGAGAGAGTTTGGGCCATATTAAGAAAAGAAAAATATTTTTTTAGTAACTATTTTTCAGAATAGGTTTTTGAACACAAGGACACGACTTTTGACATTGCATTACATCAATACCGGTGTGACTCATTCACCTACTTACTCCTTATGAAATTTTCTTCAGTTTCATCTGCAATGCTCAATAAAGCACCTCCTTGCATATGGCATGAAGAATGTGCCTCACTCCAAGAAAGAGACGAAAGCAGGTTGAATTGGTAGCAAATGTGTGAATCGAGACTCTTCTCCCAGACAGCATCACAACTCACTTCTGCAGAAGCTGGAAACAAAGTCTTATTTTATTTATATAGCAACATATTTCTGAGATGAAGTTAAATGGAACTATTCCAACTTGCAAACTCTAAAACTCCAGTGCCTTATCTATTTTTGACTAGGTCTTTATGGAGAAATCTGCATTATTAATCCATTATTAATATATGGCAAAACTCTTCCAGGATTCGATTATAATTTTTTCTTATTTCAGGTTATTGTGAGGGGACAAAGAACCAAAATTTGTTGGGTGTGGGACACAACACAACCTCTTATACTTGTGTCCCACACCCAAAAGATGTGCCATGAACCCCTCCCTTGTGCCCTTTAAGCAGGAACACACCAATTAAACTCGTTAGAAGAAAATTCAAGAAAGCATCCGTAAAGAAGATCTGATTTTTTCCAAGATAATAATAGAAACCAGTTTTAAGAGAAGGAAATAGAAGCCAAGAAAAATAAGAACATCTGAGTTCTTTAAAAAGCAGCCATTTAGAACTTTAAATCGAAAGCTGTGTCAATTTAAATATTTATTCGAGATAGAAACAAGTGTCATTTCAAAAAGTATTTCTCACCAGATACCAAAATGTTGGATGAAAAAAAAAGGGATAAAGGAGAAATATGAGTCCACAGTGAACACAACTTTTCACATTAACACTGAGCACAGGAATACTGACAGTTTAAGAAAATTCTCCAAGAGGAATAGAAGCAAAATCTACTTGTAAGACATCAGCCCCGTGGTTCTCAACCTTCCTAATGCCTCAACTTTTTAATACAGTTCCATAGGTTGAGAACCACTGCGTTAGCCGAAGAGTGCGTAGAAGGCTTAAACTAATTTAATGACGTATAAAATGTGGATCTGAAATTTGAAGTTTATGGAAATAACAGAAAATTAAGAACTAGTTTGAAAGCTTTTGTGAAAATTTTCAGTCAAACCATATAGTAATCACTAGAAATGGAACTCAGCCAAAGAATTTCAGGACGCAGAAAATGTGAACCCTACTACTTGTATAAGTGAACCCGATGGACAGGCAACCAGCTAAAATTTAGAACAGCTTCTCCCAGAGTGTGATTGTCAAAGTAAGACAACTTCAAGAGATACCATCAGAAAATCTGGGATAAAATGCAGATATGGAGTCCTCTGGGAAATTCACAACGCATATTGACTTTTAAATGCTCTGAGAAGTTCCATTGTAAAGGTACACGCTAACTACACTTCAAACGTATTTGACAATGAAATCTTTTTTCATACGTTTTCTTTTTCCTATAATACTTTGTTAGGTGGCTCCCTTGGGAAATGAGTACAGTTTGTTTGCTTGTCTGGTTGCAACATGTTTTACCCAGAAGTTAGTTAACCAGAAGTTACAAAATCACATACAAATCTAAAGCTGTTTATAGAGTTTCTTGACTGATACATGTATTTACATAAAAGGACCCAAGATCTAAGGCAGGCAGGAGACAAGGCTATCAGGAAAAAAAGAGAAAGGAAGGAGAAAGAGAGGGGAGATGTTTTTTGGTACTTATTTTGCCCGGGTGGCCGAAATTTCCCCCAATGAATGAAATCCTCAGAGACAGTTTTCAGTGAAGATGCTAGGCCTTCCCTGAGAAGGGCAGTACACTGGCTGTCATCAGCCTCCAGCTCAGCCGTATTCATCCTGTGTGACTGCAGAGATCATGAAGGGGGAGCTGGAGTGTGTTTGCAGGTTCAAGGGCACACAAGTGCTTTCTCTGCTTTGCTGGGTGGGCTGCATGTCACTCCACGAGACTCATTTGAAGGTTGTAACTGAACAATGGAATGAAAATGGCTCTAGGAGCCACTGTGAGGAGCTGCCCCATCCTCCTTCTGGTCTAAGAGACTTATTTCTCCAGCTGCCATCAGACACTCCTCCGTGTTAAGCCTCCCAGGACTGGCTTGGCTGAAGAGTCTCTTTGCTCAGTGTCACTCTCCCTTTCCAAGGGCAGCTGGCTGACCACGACTGGCCAGTGCATCAGTACAAGGCACCCACCAAACCCTGACTGGGGCAGCTCTGAAGGGTCACTCCATCTGGACAACTCCTTATAGGATTGGTCTAGGGGCTGTCAGGCTTGCATCCAGCTCCCTCTGTGCAATCCCACTCTCTTCCCTTGCCTTCCCTTCTGAACTGACCCTAAGACGACTCCTAAGAACCCTCCTGCCTGCTCACCTCTGGCTCAGAGACTGCTCCCTGAGAACCCGCCTGCCACAGGCTCTGCTCTTGACCTGGTGCATATATATATATATATATATATATATATAATCTCACTTTAATATCTCTTTCCAAAGAGTAAAGGTCACTATCTCAGGTATGGTTAATTATTCTTGAAAAATTCTAATCTAAGGGGTAGAATCCTATTATAATTTTTATTTGCATCTTTGGTTATATATATATTGTCTTTTCTATCACTTAATTATGAGCTCCTTGAGAGAAACACTTGTGTCATATATATTTTTGAATCTCCTATTATTTGATGAGAGATTACCCAAATCTTTTGCACGATGTTAGAAAACAAGTAATTTTTCCTCTCCTCACTTCAGCTTTCTTTTAATGAGCTGAGGTGTGTTCATGTCAACACTGATGTTACTCTGGTTAGTGAGTGACGTCTGCCCTGCCTCCTTTTCTGTTACTGTGGCTTGCTTCTCTCCCTAAGTGTACAGTTTTGCCATAGCCCGGGTGTCCTATTTCTTTGCTTCTTTTAAAAATTACTGAGTTCTTTTTTAGAAAAAGGAATAGTCCTATTATCAGAGCAGCAATGGAACTTCAAGCTGCAAAGTAACTATCTTTTCCTCTCTCTTTGGTCTTTTGTGCGCTCAGCATATCGTTGTAAGAGGGACACTGGGCCACATCAGTTTTTCTTGCTCCATACTCTCTCAGTGCCCTACGGGATCCTTGGAAGCCCAATCACAAGTGAAATGAAATGATGTGATTGCTTGTTGGTTGTCTGTTGCTGCTGATAGTGTGAAAATAGCTGGTACCATGTTCCATTTTGTTCAAGCCATTATTCCCCAAGCTTGCTCATCAGCATTTAAGGGTTACTGGGCAGAGGTGGCTAGGCTATCAAAGAAAGCTGAGAGGTGATGGCCACAAAGGAAAGAGGAAAGCTAGTAGGTGTGGGCTGCAGAAGCCTGAGGAAGTCATGCTGATCATTTCATTATCAACAACCTCCAGTATTTACTTGAAAAATTACTGGTTTGCTATAGTGAGCTTGCTCTCCCTGCAGCCACAATGCCCATTGCATGCCTGCCCTGCTGTTCAGGCCTCTCACTCTTTCCCCACTTCAGAGAGAAAGTCCTTGCCACTGGATTGATTTCTTGTTTTCTCCCATCACCCACACTATCCACCTTCATGGACCTGTGCTATCCTCTCCATCTTCCCTCCTATGGAGCAACTATCTTTCCACTATTAAAGTCCACTGTCTATGATCTGGATCCCACTTCTTTCTATCTTTCAGGAGACCATCTACACTCTACCAGGTGCCTTCACATTCCTGCATCATCAGCCTCTCTTTCCTGAGGCACAGCCTCTCTCTCTCTCACAGAATCTCCAATTGTCCTTATACCATTTACAGATGCAATCAAAGATGGCATCTCTGGCTCGGCACCTGTAACTCAAGCGGCTGAGGCACCAGACACATACATCAGAGCTGGCGGGTTCGAATCCAGCCCGGGCCTGCCAAACAACAATGATAACTACAACCAAAAAATAGCCAGGCATTGTGGTGGGTGCCTGTAGTCCCAGCTACTTGGGAGGCGGAGGCAAGAGAATCACTTAAGCCCAGGAGTTGGAGATTGCTGTGAGCTGTGACGCCATGTACTCTACCATGTACTCTACCTGGGGAGACAGCTTGAGGCTCTGTCTCAAAAGAAAAAAAAAAGATGGCATTTCTGATCTTTAAAAATAAGAAACAAAAAACTTCCCTTCTCCAGCCTCCCCCAGCCCTTGTCACTGCCTTCTCTCTACCCTCACTAGTCACTACTTGAAAATACATACTCTCTCCAATTCCTCATCGTCCATTTACTCTTTAAAAAATAATTTTTGAGATATAATTTGTATACCATTTAATTCATTCTTTTAAAGTATACAATTCAATGGTTTTTACTATATTTAAAGCTTTGTGCTACTATCACCACAATCCACTTTAGAATATTTTCATCATACCAAAAAGAAATTCAGGATCTGTTAGCAGTCACTTCTCATTTCCCCCTTAATCCCTCCCACCCCCATGTTCAAGACATTATACAATCTGGAGTTTTTTGTGACTAGTTTCTTTCACTTAGCCTAATGCTGCCAATGGTCATCTACAGCATCTACCAGTGCTTCATTTCTTAATATAACATGCTTTGTTTGTGCAATCATCAGTTCACAGATACTTGGGTTGTTTTTACTTTTTGGCTATTATGAGTAATGCTGCTATAAACATTTGTGTACGGTTTTTGCCTGGACATATTTTCTCATTTCTCCTGGGTATACACCTAGGAGTGGAATTGCAGGGTAATAAAGTAGCTCCATGTTTAAGCTTTTGAGGAGCTGGCAGTTTTCAGTATCAATGTACAATCCTGTTGATAATGGATGAGAGTTCCAGTTTGTCTACATCAGTGGTTCTCAACCTTCCTAATGCCACAGCCTTTCAATACAGTTCCTCTGGGTCGCGACTCACAGGTTGAGAACTGCTGGTCTACACCCTTTCGAACACTTGCTATTTTCTGTCATTTCAGTGGGTATAAAGTGGTAACTCATTGTGGCTTTTGTTTGAATTTCCCTGATGGATAATAACATTGAGCATCTTTTCAAGTGCCTGTTGGCCATTCGTCAATCTTTGGAGAAGTGGCTCTTCAGATACTTTACTCATTTTCAAATAGGGTTGTCTTTTGATTATTGAGTTACAGGAGTTCTTTGTATTTTCCAGATGTAAGTCCCTTATAAAATATATGATTTGCAATTATTTCCTCCCTTGCTGTTGGCTGTCTTTTCATTTTCTTGATAGTGTCCTTTGAAGCACAGAATTTTTAGTTTTGATGTAGTTCAATTTGCCTCTATTTTCTTTTGCTGCTTGTGGTTTGGTGTTAAATCTAAGAATCCATTGCCATATCCAAGATCATGAAACTGTACCCCTAAGTATTCTTCCAAGAGTTTCAAAATTTTAGCTGTTCCATTTAAATTTTTAATCCATTTTGAGTTAATTTTTTTTATAAGGAGAGAGTTAGGGGCCCAAATTCATTCCTTTGAATGTGGATATCCAGCTTTCCTTTTATCACTATTTTGAAAAGATTAAAAAGATTATTCTTATTCCATTGAATGTTTCAGCATCCTCTTCAGAAAATCCATTCACCATAAATGTGGACTCTCAAACCTGGCACATGTTGCCACATTATCTTGATTATTGTATTTTACCCATCGTGACCTTTGCATATTTGCACTCCTAGCCCAGGTCCTCATCCCGCAATTCTGCTGAGCTGGGTTGGGGTCCAGTGCGAAGGAGGGAAAACTCAGAAGGTATTTTTCCCCACTCTGACTCAGTACTCAGTACTTTTTCAATCCTAGCTCTTCCCCTTCACCTTATGCTTGGCCCCAGAGTCCACAAAACAGACAAGCCTTTTGTTCAGGGTTCCCTGGACAGCCATGTCTTTCCTGGCTTTCTTTGGCACTTAGAATTAGGTAAATCCTTACCTTTATGACCCCCTATTTATCTAGCCTCTGCATGATAAATGCCTCTGTGTACTTTTTCACAGTGTCTTGTTTCTCTCTTGATCACTGTATCTTGCTACATTGCCTTTCTTAGAAAGCATAACTTCTTTTCCTTGTCAAAACCTCTGGTCATTTGGCTAGTTGACACACTGACTGAGGGGTGGGGGTGGGATAGCTGTCGACCTGGACAAGTGGGAGCATTTTATCACTCAACTGTTTACAACTGTTAGAGTATGTATATGGTGAATCAAAAGACTGGCCTTTAGTTGGTTTTATTATTATTTTTAGTTCTATTCAATATCCTTCTTTTATTGCCTGCATCCAGGGCTGACCACTGCCTCCCCAGCCCCTCCTTGTCACATGGCATCACCCCGCATGGGCATCTCACTCCCCTACTTTCCATCTTGATATCGTCTGCTCATATCTCAGGCTAGATGTGAAAGGCTTAACTGTTAATGAGAAGGACACAGTCGAGTGGGAGTGTGCATTGTAACTACCTAAAAGTCTTGTTAAAACACGTTATTGGGATAAACTTCTAGAATTTCTGATGTGGTAGTATCTTGAATATGATTGATAAACTGCATTTCTAACAAACCTATAGAGAATTCTGACATTGCTGAAATGGGAATCATACCCTAACAACCATTGAAATACAGGTCGGAGAAGGTTAGATAGGAGGCTCCAGGTGGAGAGATTTGCTCTAAGTAGAAGAAAAGTCATCCTCTTGTACGGGATGGAGGTAAAAAGAAGGGTAAAGACCCAGGTAGGCTTAAAGGTCAGGGGCAGGAAGTTGTTGCCAAAACTCTCCCCAGCCTGGATTCTTTTGTCATTATGAGACAGAAATTGAGGTCATCTGATGTGAATGAAGGAGGAGAATGGAAGGCAGGGTTAGAAGTTAGAGGAAAATAGAGAGGTTAGAATGGTCATTGTGGGGCATGAGAAATCACATGACAGACATATGGCTTTGCTGATCCATGCTGAGGACTTAGGTGAGTAGGGCAATCCTACCAGTGGGCTGTATTATGTCATTCAGGTAACTGAAATTACATCAATTGAACAAGGTTCTAGGGCAGTGGTTCTCAACCTTCCTAATGCCCCAATGTATGTTCATTGTTACAAAGGGGTCGTGACCCACAGGTTGAGAACCGCTGTTCTAGGGCAATCAGATCATTTTAGAAGTTGGTAACCTAAAAAATATCTCAAACTAACCAAGTAGGGCTCTCCTTTTTTGGAAAGGCACACAAATCAAGAAAGACCTAGCATGGCCCAGAATTGCTTCTAAACAAATACAGAGAGATTCCTGTATATCAGCTTTATTTCGGAAGATGAGTTATTATGTGCTTCGCTGCTAGTGTGTTTGTGTCTGTATGCATTAGAACTAAATTTAATTCTTGTTAATTTATGGTGAACTTTTCTTTCAAAAAGGCAGCATCATGTTACATTGAGATATTTTAAAACTTTCATGTAGGAAAGATGAGATACAGAAGCATGAACCCTGACTTTACTGTGCTCACTTCTTTCTGCCCTGTCCACTTGCTGACCCCATGGAAAGAGCTGTCAGCTCGCTCAGATTTCAGTCTCCAACACGTCATTTTGAGTTATACTGGCCACCAGGAACCAAAAGTAATAAGAAAGGAAGAAAACTGGAACTGTAATTTAGCACTGCACAAATAAACATGCTCTCTGCTGGTTGTGGTAAAGGTCAGGAGAGCTGGAATCTGGCAGGCTGTCAAGAGAAGGAAGCTTCTGAGCTGTAGGAAGCTGAACAAATAGATAGTCTTGGGAATGAAGAACCCTGAGCACCCCTGAACCCAGACTTCCACCAGCAGAACTATAATTGGCTACCAATGACAGAGGATGGTGACAGGGCTCCTCTCAGAACCTTAAGGGGAATGATGTGGTTTAAGAAAAGTTCCTAGTAATAAAACCACATGAAATATGTGTTAATGTTATTAGTACTGGTTTATTTATTTGGTTTTAATGAGGACAGCTATTGGAGATGGAAATGGAAAGAGAAGAGGTGAAGCAAATAACCTGACATCTGGTTCAGGAACCTAAAGAGTGTGGGGATCACATGCATATTCACCTACACACGTATGTTCAGATTCAGGTAGGGAAGGCTGGTGATCTGACAGGTATGAAATAAAATGCTTTTATGCTGCTCAGTGAATAGCCAACCAATAGCTGAGCTCCTCTGGTGCTACCAGCTGCCTCGGCCTTCCCTGAACCTCCTCCCCTCCTGACATTCTAGCAGCTAAGGGGTTAATATCAGCAGTGGGCCACTAGAACTCCCAAGCTCCACACTAAGGTCTCCACTTTGGTATTAAATATCTTAATATCACCCCATGTGTATAGATGTATGTTGCATAGAATTACCTGTATACTGTGACTATTTTATGAGAAATTATCTTCATTAAGATCACCTAGGACACTTGTCAAAAATGCAGATGCTTCGATTCCACATACTGCACCCACTGTCCCTCTGGGAGAAGCGTCAGGATATGCATATTTATCTGTCTTCTAGGTGATTCTATAGCAGCATGTCAGATACAGTCTGCATTTTCTGGCATACAGCAAACCTGTCTGTCCTGTCTTCCACGTAGTTACCAAGATTTTTGAGGTAAGGATCCTAAATCCTAAAACTCTTGATATTTGCCACCATGCCTAGCTTAGTGCTTGTTCACTGGCATTAAAGAGGAGATTGTTTATTCAGAAGTATATGCCGATAAGACAAATTGGGTTTGATGATGATGATGATGATGATGGTGGTGGCAATGGCGGACCCTTGTGAGCCATTACTGTGTGCCAGGTACTATGAAAATTAGATGCCTCATCTAATTGAATCTGAACAATGTTCATATTTCATGGCTGAGGAAATTGAGACCCAAAGAGATGGAGACACTTTCCTAAAATCTCATTGCTGGGAGGAGGCAGGTCTAATCTTGACCTGTCTGACTTCAAAGCCTATCCTCTTTCTTGTTTACTAAACCACACTCGCCCTTGGATTGGAAAAAAATCCTACAATAATTTATAAATCAGACTTTTTGGTGTTAATCTCTGCCATTTGCTTCCGTTTCAAACTGATTTGTTGCATTTTATTATGTACATGGAGGAGAGGCAGGCACAGAAGGCGAAGAGATTGTATGCAAAAGCTACACTCTCTAATTTGCAGAAACCAAGATGAAGAAAACTGAATATCGGAAGTAGAAGGTATACATAAATATTTTTCAATGCTAAGAAACAATAGGAAACTTTTTAGTTAAATATAAATAAAATAAGATGAAATAATAAAGCACTAACTGAAAAAAATTAGAACATTGCAGCTGTCACTAGACCTTGGAAATCAAGAAAAGAAGAGAAAAAAATTTTGAGGTTATAGCTAGAAAGTGAGTAGTAGGAAAAAGAGTAAAGATGAAAAGCCTGTTGAGAAATAATGAGGGCAACTGTGACTTTAGAAAGACCATCAATGGGCCAGCTGATGCCTAGACTTGACCATGGGCAAGACAAGCAGCCCGGATGTATAGAAATGAAGGCAGCTCATAAGAGGCAGTGGATTGAAAGGATAACTGGGCTTTATATGCAATCAGGGGTTTTTTTTTTTTTTTGAAGTATCCTGCAGGGAAGCTGGGATTAATGAGATCACAGAGTATTATAATTTGATTCCGGTTAAAGCATCCTTGTGCACTGAGCTTAATGAAGAATGGGTAATTAACATCTTTTGAATGTAAAGAAAAAAAGAATATACACCAGAATTGTCTTTTCAAGGCAAAAACAAACCCAAAATCAAAATCTGGATTAATAGCATCAGAGTGCTTATTCAGACTTCAATAGATCAATCCCAGTGCTTTTCTTTAAATACAGATAAGTTCCTAATCATCTTTGATTCATTCATGACATATGGAGAAGACTATATTTATTCTTACTGGGATCTGGGCAAAATCCCCACTTTTCATCTCTTTCATATCGGCTTGTCGTGGCACACCACAGTAAGTCGTCATCACGGCCTTCTCGGGTACATGCATGATGCCACTGATGGTTGTACTGGAAGGGAAACACACACGGCATCCCGTGCGCATTTCCTTTGATTGTATACAAATCTAGGAGAAAGAAATTCACAAAGTCAGTAAAGTATGATGTCAGCCTTGTCTTGGAAACTGCCACATGTTTAATGCATTTTGGGTCAACTGAAACCCTCATAGGGGCAGGTATTCCACCATCCCAGGGTGAGTCCTCAGGTCCTCACTGCCTTGTGTCCATGGAAGTGCCAGGCTGAGTGTGGGGCTCGGAGGAAGTGATCACAGTTTGCTTATACATCTGTGTACTTCTTTGCTTACAATGCTGAGCTATTCCCTAATGTTCATGTCGATGGGTGGATGAGAAGGAAAATTTAGGCTCAGTGCCTGTGGCTCAAGTGGCTAAGGTGCCAGCCACATACATGTAAGGTGGCATGTTCGAATCCAGCCTGGGACCCGCCAAACAACAATGATGGCTGCAACCAAAAATTAGTTGGGCATTGTGGTGGGTGCCTGTGGTCCCAGCTACCTGGGGGGCTGAGGCAGGAGACTCTCAGGAGCCCAGGAGTTGGAGGTTGCTGTGAGCTGTGATGCCACAGCACTCTACTCAGGGGGATAGCTTGAGGCTCTGTCTCAAAAAAATTTAATAGAGGTTACTTCAAAATATCTCCCAGTCTCTAAGTGTATCAGCCTTTGGCATCTCAAACTCAATAGTTTCATAGGCATTTATTAATTGAATAAATATTTATTGGGTGTTTAATATATCCAGCGCTGGCTATACAATGAAAGAATCAGCAAAAGTTCCTTCATGTGGGACTTCTAGTGAGGAAAGACAGAGAAGGCAAATATATAAACATATAATTTCAGGTAGTGCTAAGTGCCCATGAAGAAAAAATAAAATAGGACAATAAGACAGAGTGACTGTGTGTGAGTGAGTGTCTGATGGGGCAGAGGGCACAGCTTTGGATGGGATGGGCAGTGGAAAGGGTCTCTGAATCACTGGGTTAAATAAAGGTGCAAGTCTTGGAAGAAACCTTGTTCCGGTGGAAGGAACAATGAGCGTAAAGGACTCAGGATTCAGGGACGTGCTGGAGAGTCTGCCCACCAAGGGCTGTCTCTCTGCCCTGTATGGACCTTGGCCTCTACTCCGAAGGTGGTGGGAAGTCAGTGGTGGGTTTTGAAAAGGAAAGTGACATGATCAGATTTCCATTTTTAAAGAAACCTTAGGGGTGCAATGGGGCCAACAGAGATGACCCTGCGGAGGTTGCTAACTCAGAGTGTCACAGTTCTCAGTCATTCTTGGCCTTAGCAGAAAGCTCTTCATGACTCAGCTGCGGCTTTCAATAGCAAGAGGGATCAGGGTCACCTCTAGTTAAGATACTAAATCCTGGGGCAAAAGGTCAGATATCCACGCCTCTCCCATAATTCTAGGGGCTGGGCTAAGCAAGCTCACAACATGTTGTAGACCTTGGCAGCTAGGGCTGTTTAGCAACCAGAAGTATTTAGGACGCAGCTTTCTGTTTCAATCTCCTGCCTTCTTTTTTTTTTTTTTTTGAGATAGAGCCTCAAGCTGTCCCCCTGGGTGGAGTGCCGTGGCATCACACCTCACAGCAACCTCCAACTCCTGGGCTCAAGTGAGTCTCCTGCCTCTGCCTCCCAAGTAGCTGGGACCACAGGTGCCCGCCACAACGTCTGGCTATTTTTTGGTTGCAGCCATCGTTGTTTGGAGGGCCTGGGCTGGATTCGAACCCACCACCTTAGGTGTATATGGCTGGTGCCTTAGTCACTTGAGCCACAGGCGCAGAGCCTCAATCTCTTGCCTTCTACTCAGAAGCACATGTTGCCTGGAGTCTTCCCTGCATGCACTGTGAGTGTTGGTATATGGCTAAAAAGTTAACATAAAGCAAAATGCCAAGTTCTTCCTTAGAATTGTAGATCAGTCTGGGTGCTGGTCTGTTGCACTTGCTTTCTTGCTAAGAACTCAAAATGTCCTACTCTTGGCTCTCTTTTTACTCACTCCTTCTAGCTACAGGAGAAAGTCCTACCTTGAGCCTTAGGAATCCCCTGCTCCTAAGGATGATATGCTCTTATTAAGACACAGGGCCGAACCTCCATAGTTAACTACCTCCTTGTATCAACCACCTTCTTAGTTGACCTAATTTTCATAGACTGGATGTGCACATCTACGAGTCAGCACAGTAGACCTAGATCCTTATGATGACCACCTCTGTATGTGGACCAGTTTGGTGGTCAACTTATAAAAGTTCTATTGTAATTCTACACAGCACCACAGGTGGGAGGCACACCTGTCCTGCTGGCCATTGTAAACTGGATGCCTAGCACTGTGCCTGATGAACAGTGCCTGACAAATGTGTGATGGACAAATGGGTGGAAGGATGGATGGATAGATGGATGGATGGATAGATGGATGGAACGATGGACAGATGAAGACAGCTACCAAACAAACCCTGAGGGACAGGTCTGAGGTTTCAGAATTTAACTATGTGACTTTCTTTATTTTATTATTTTTTCCTTAAAGATGTCAAAACTAAAAGAACTTTGAAAAAGTAAAATCCCCCAACTACCATGCTTGCTACACACCAAATAACCCCTGATGGTAGTTTGTCCCCTCTCTTCAAGTGCCCGTGACATGACCATCACAGGGATGCCTCCTAGGCATTGGGAGGCATTTCAGAGGCCCTGCAGACACACCTCCATGGGGCTGGGGGGCTAAATTCCTACAGTACTGGAAAAGGTGGCAGGGAAAGTTGTCCCTTTCGTCCTGACAAAGGTCTACACTTTAAAGACCTTTTCCTTCCACCTCCCTTTCCTCTTTTCCCCCTGTCCATCTGTTCTTTTTCCTCTTTTCCATTAATTCTCAAAGTTAAATGTTTTTTCTCCCAATACCTTTAGATTCTGAGCAGTTCTCCTTCTTTAGCAGAATTTGGCATGTCCACTTTAAAACTCTAGTAACCCTTTATCATAAGCAAGGAAGCAACTAAAATGCGTTTATGGGAAGTCCCCGATGTTGCAGGCTCTGTGTTCTTCTTTCACACAACGCTTTACAAGTCTTTCCCATGGGCAAACTTTTAAAATATACCCTGCTATGAGTACTTTGATTTAAATTATTTTTACCTTTGTGCAGATATTCACAAATGTCTCCACTACCTGACAGGTAGGAAATCCACTTATGGGTATATGTCCAGGAGGCCACCACTGTGTTGTCCTGCTTCACCTGGACCATATACCGGAGCGGGCCCGTGATCATCTTCCTATGACAGTGCCACCCCAAGGAGACATGGGTGGAATCACATTCATATAAGCTTAATGGTTGCTCCGGATTTGACAAATTCAGGCCCAGGCAACCGCTGCCTCCTATGTTGTAGAGATGGTGGTTTGAGACCCATTTCCACAACATGTACTTGTCTGGTTGTTCGCAGCTCTCCAGGGTCAGTACAGATTTACCAGCTTGAATGCATTTCTTGAGACTCTCACTTTGGATAATAAATATTCCTTTACCTGAAACAGAAAAAATAAGACATGAGGCAAGACATTTTCATATTTAAGTATGTTGGGAGGATCCCGGGGTGTCTGTCTAAGCTGTGATATGGCACAGGTTCCAGGCATTTCTAATAGATCTGGAATTGATGGGGAGGGTCCACCTGAAGGGCTTGATTCACAAGAAACAGAAGAGTTTGGGGGGAAGCATGAAAGAACTTACTGGAGCTAATGGGAGACCTCTGATTAAGATCCCATCGGCCGCACGGGAACAAAGGCCGCCAACTACTCCACTCTGGTCTGGTATTCACAGAGAAGGCACTGTCCACAACTGGACCAAGGGCTAGGATGAGCAGTAACACATTTTGTGCTATTAGACAAATATTGTGCTATAACACAATAAAGCATTTGGTGCCGTGCCTCTGAGCTCTCCCCTACCTGGAACAAGAAGAGATTTGCGGGAGTTTCTAGTTGAAAAGCTGGCAGGACCCAGCCAGGGAATACACATTCGCCACCTGCCTGCTACCTGACTTTACCTCGAATTCCTGGCCTGGAAGGCACTTAATAGACACAAGCAGGAACTTGTTTTCATGGGGATTTCGAAGATGGAAATCACATCTCATTTTTTCACTCTAAGCACAGAGTGTACTTAGTAAGAACTTCCCGAAGTGCTTGATGCTGATTAAACATGCTGCCAGCTGCTGCTTAGGCCTATGGTTCCTGAGGTTGGCTCAGGATGTCTGCTCAGGTCCAAGGGCTCTTTTGTTCAAGGTGAAGACAGCTGGCTGTGAGGCGTCCACAGTGGAAGCTAGACGCTCTCACGTGGTTTACTTCCTGTCTGTTCTGCAGAACTCTAGAGAGATGTTAACAGGTTCCATTAACATGGCCAGGATTTAGGGCCTGTTGTGTCATGTGGCTGGGGCAGAACAGGGACAGGGACAGGCGGAGAAGTTCGGCAGTTTGGAATCATGCAGGATGAGCCTCTACATGCATTGTGTGAAGGAATGATGCTTCATTTCAGTAGAAGTTCTTTTTACTTCTCTAAAATTAATCAGGCCAAGGAGAATTGATATACAGTAACCATGATCACTTAGACACTATTTAAAATACTGTTACTGTATTAATGGAAGGTATATTTCATTTATAATTGGTATACTTTCTTATAGCCACATATTTGAGGTGTTGACTTGGTTGTCAGAGAATTGCTTTGATCACCATCCATCAAAGCAAAAGAGAAGGGGGTAGGTTGGGGAAAATGAATGGTTTTAGGGAGATTTCATTTAGATCAGGAAATTTGTTTTCCTAATGAAGGCCATGTCTGGATGGTTATTAGTAATACTCATTCAAAATCAAATTCACCTCTCGCCAATGCAATATGGACTCTGATAATTAACCTTCTCTCCAACTCTCCTTTTCACCTTTTCATGCCTGGATAGAATGTTAACCTTAATTTCTGTTGTAACCTACTAATTACCCTGTAGCTAGCCCAGAGTTCCATTAATTTTTTATTGAAGGATAATTATTTTACTATAACAGCTCTGTAGTTCATCTTCTACCTATATATATGTTCCAACCCATCCATCTCTACAACTTACTGACTGGCCCTCAGTTTTACACCTAAGATAGGTGTGTAGACCACCTGGATAGTGGTTGAGAGCCCTGGAATCAGGCAGACTGTGTGACTGTCAGCAGACTGCTTGATCTCTGAGAGCCTTGTCTTTCCTTTTTGACTTGGGAAGATGTATGATATGGAACTCATAGGAATGTTAAGGATATTATATTAAACAACCCCTGCAAAACACACCATGCACTACCGTGGAAGTGGGAGGACCTCAGTAAAGCTGAGACCTCAGTGAGTTGTTATCAGTGTTATTCCCCTGACCTCCTGATTCTTGGTCTACAGATCCAGCTGCAGATCTGGTTGAGTGCTAATCTGAGCATCCATCAAAGACTTTTCCCATGTTTAGTACAGAAACTCATCTTTAGTTTTTGTAGGACACAGTGGGTGCAGACTTTTTAAAAACAAGCTTGAGACACTTACTATGCAGTCACCTTTCATAAAAAAGAAAAGTACTCTTCAAACAAGCAGATAACAAAATCCTTCTCACATTTGTTCAAAAACATGTGCAATTATGAAGTAAAGTCTTCCCCTGTTGCTTCTCTACACTGCCTACTTGTAAAGTCTATACTGCAGGGTTTTTTTTTTAATAAGAAAGAGAAAAATACATCATGTTGACTAGTGGCGTGTGGATGGGAGAATGAATAGGCTGTGAATAAGTCAACATGGAAATGATACATCTCAAATTTAGGGTGAATAAGTAATGTTTTTCTAACTTATTAAGTGTTAAGAGGAAAAGTGTGGCAGAATTCTGTAGTCACACCAGTGATTAGAAAAATACCTTTCAAAAGCAGAAGCTATTAGACATAGCTAATGCTGCTGAATTTGGGGGGTGCAATTACATTTCTATGCTGGCTACCTTTAGGATGTAGCTTTGGAAGGTTCTCCAGAATGTGCCATAAAAAATTATGCTACCCTGAAATATATTAAGCTAAAAAATGACCCATGCCCATCTTTGCATTAAGTTATAATAGAATCTGATCCCAGCACTATTAATCTCCATAAATTCACTGGAGAGAAAACAATTGTTTTCAAATAGACTGTGAGGAGACTTAATGTAGGTATCAATATTCTTGTTGTTATTATATGCACATAATGTCTCTAACGAAACTATAATGTGAAAATAAGCCACCAATCTTTAGTGTGTATAGTTGTTGGATTTCAAAAGAGATAAAAATCAAATGTGGGAGGAATCAAGATTGATTATATATGTCAAGGACATCAGTTCTGCTTGAACACTGATTAAGTGATTAATGAAGTACTGCCAGAATTACTAAATCTCATTGCGGAAAAATGTTATTATACCTCCCTTCAAAATTATAAGTTTAGGAGGAGAAAAAGGACAGATTTACCAGAACTAACTTAAGCTAATTTCCATTCTTAAAAAAAAAAATCCATGGAAGAGGGTGGTTCTGTTCTTTACTTCTGAGTTCCATTTAGGAGGAGATCATTTCACTCCCACTCAGACCCCATAAGATAAAATATACTCTTCTAAAGAGTGGGAGGTGTTTCCTTGACTGACTATTGGACTCAAGGTTAGAATATTTCTTCCATGACTGCATATGGAGCCTTCATTCATTCACTCATTCATCCAACAAGCATTCCCTGGGTACCAGCTATGTAGTGGGCATTGTATAAAGTGCCAAAGATAGAGGAATTATTCGCCTAAATGCCTATCCTTTGAAACTATATCTATTTGTTCTAGAATTATGGCAATTTGCCTAGCTAATGAAACAAAGGGAGTTCTATCTGTTGCAAAAAAGGAAAATATAATTGCATTTAAAATAAGCCCTTAAAACACAATATAACAAACAAGAAAAAGAAAACAGACCAAATTTATGGCACTTGACTAGGGTAACCAGATTTTAACATTTGTAAAGCAGGACAACTTGGGGGGGTACGGGGCGGGGCGGGGCAGGGGACGGGGCAGGGCAGGGCCTGACAACAACACAAACTTTGATAAGCAGTTCTCAATAATCACTTTTTGATAATTATTTGTTATTATTATAGTTTAACATTATAAAATTAACAAAAATAATATAAAACTCATATTCTGGTGAAATAGCCACATGGCAGCTGAAAACCGTATATTCCCTTCCTGTTCTCCCACCCGCTTGTGCATTCTTTCCAAAAATCGGGACTGTATAAAAACACTGCAGGATGTGGGACAAATTGTTAGAAAGTGAGACTGTCCCACCAAAAGTGGGACGTCTGGTCACCCTACACTTGACTGGATCCTTAACTGCTGTTACATGTGAGGTGGACAGAACTCCCCAGTGTCATCAGACTTTCTGGGTGGGGAGTGTGTGTGCATTACACATGTGCTTGCCATTCCCTGGGAAGGACAAAGCAGGACAGCACTGGGAGGAACATGGGTGTGGTAGAGGAGACTAACTTTACTCATAAACATAGGGCTGAGAAGCTCAGAGTTGAATGGGACTGTAAAGATTACATAATTGGACCATTCTTTAATTTCTTTTTCCAAATCCATTTTGACTTAGGGTAGAAGTTTTATACCCACACAGTCAGCGAGGACCATATTCAGTCTGGGTGTGGCTTTATTCACATACATTCATTTATATCCTAGAGAGAAGAAAATGAACTACTGTAGATTGTTGCTAAACATGTTCAAATAAGAGACTTGAATTTTCAAGCAACAAACATCTCCTGAATGCCCAGTAAGGCCTATGTTGGAAATTCTGGAGACAGAAGGATGCCTATGCCCCAGTGCTTATCTTCATGGAACTTGTGTTCTCCCTGTGACTCACTGAAATCTGCAGAAACGTAATAATGATCAATGACAAAATATATTTCACACACAAGGTACAAGTACAACCGAGTGGAAGTTGGGGGTGGAAGGGGTCACTTTGGCCAAGAAGACCAGAGAAATCAACCAACTCTCCTTCCTCTGCCACCTGACGTTTTCATTGACAAACATTTATCAGGAGCCTAATATTTGTAGTAATGGGGATATATTGGGTGCCAGTCCTCATCAAAGAATATCCAGGATCACGGAGGAGGGGTGTACAGAGCAGAGACTATCACCCAAGCTCAAAGATGATGAAAATGATCATCTGTGAAAAGGCTGTGCAGGCAGCCTAGATACTTACAACATTTTAATGACAGTAGAATATGAAGTCAGAAAGAGGTGGTTTGGGGTTATTTTATAGAGAACTTGAATTTTATTCAAAAATTTCTATATTATTCTTCAGATGAAAGGGATCTTTAGGAACTTGAGAAGATATGACAACACTGTGGTATGAAAGATGAATTGGGCAGGTGAATCGCTCACCAGAATCATTTACCAGATGCCCACCGTGCACTCAGCAAAGTTTTAGGTGCTGAGACAAATGAAGACAAATAACGGAGCTCCTGCCCTGGAAGAGTTCTGATTTCGGTGGGA